ACATACCGATGTGAGAGGGCACATCATCCTTTGTCACTGGTAATAATACATTATCCTGTCTCGTCTTCCGGACGTAAACCAACATGTAGGCGTTGTTTGTGCGAATAGCCGATCGTCCTCCAGTGGATCCGTTCGTGCGCTGCTGGGAGTCTCCGTAGTTCTCATCGAGCACTTCTTTGTCAGTAGCTCGGTTGACTCGGTCATCATCAAAGCGGTACCAGTGTCCATCCTTGGTGGGCTTCAGGAAGGCATAGTAATGTCCAGCATCGAGGTTACCGCTGTGGACGAGAACACCATGCAATTGGTAAACCCAGGACTCCGACTTGTCAGCGCTCTCAGAAAGATACGGAGCCGCATCGAACTCCATAGGGAATGTGTGATAATCATTGACCTTGGCCATCATGTCAAGGTTGAGGTCGTACTCGAAACGTTTGAGGTGAAGATGCAAAACGGGAGGGAAGCTCTCGAAGATGACGCCCTTCTTGGCGTCCTGCAGACCGTATGGCTGCCCAGCTTCGTACTTGTTCTCTCCCTCCAGCGTCTCGACCTGAATGTAATCCCTGAAGCTGTCGTCTAAGGTCTTGTTGCCTCGAACATTGAGTTGGATATCCCAGAAGTCTTCCACGCGGGAAGATTCGTAATCGACATTGATGCAAGAAATATACGTTTTTGTTTTTCCGACGAACAGATCAGGTAGAACTTTTTCTGCAACGGTACCTTTCATCTTGTGCTCCAATCTTTCCATGAGCTTTCGTGAGAGTTCCTGTACATCTTGCTGTTCAAAGATCTGGCTGGATTGCCAGCCAAAAGACGCGGTGAGCTCGGTTGTGGAAACAGCAACATCGTTGGTCTGCAGGTTGTAAAATAATCTCTGGAGGGCCCACGCGCTGTTCTCACGGGACGCTTCCTGGTCAGTCGGTATTTGGTAGACGGCCTAAGGATTTCCATTAGTCTCAGTAGTTAAGGGGGCAATCGAAGTTTTCTCTCTTCGTACCTTGCGGAAAGCATTTGTGAAATAGAGCGACTGCAAAAGTGAGTTCAAGTAGCATGTTGCTCCCTGATTCCTCAATCCTACCATTCCAGTCTCCTTTTTCGAGTCGTAACTAAAAAGAAGTTAGTTTCACTCGGTCAAAATTCCTGGAGAGAACCCACTTTTGGAAACTGTGCCACAAGACACCCGTAGGATCTTTCACTACACGAACATAGGCCGTGACAATTGCCTCATCGTCCTGCACCAAGGGGACTGATTTTCCCTCCCACGCGTGGCTGAACAGACCCTTAAGGTCGGCGAATCGAGTGAAACCCCAGTCTCCTTCCTCGGCAGTGAAACGGTGGGTTGCAACTAAAATCCGACTCAGCATGTAATCAAACAGTCCCATAGGAATTGAATATCTTACAGTGGTGTGTATAAATGGAAGGATCGTTCACATTCGACAACACCAGCGCAAACTGCACACAGGCGTACCAGTTCTCCGGTGGTCCATCCTCCCACGCATGTTCGAGGTAAAACGAAGCGAATTCGGTCTGATTTCCGTAGGGGAAAAAGAGGATGCGCCTATTCTCGAGTCAGATCCGATGCCGGTCCAGAGCCATAGAGCCGTAGAGCCAAACCCAGGCAAAGAGATTTCAGGCACTCACCACGGGGAGTCACCGCATCGGAAGATGGGTCCGTGTGACTTGCGCTCCATTTTCCGCCAGTCTGACAAGCGCCATGTGTCGTGGACTTCGTCTAGGGTTTCGAGGTCCGAGTTCTTGGGGAGGACCTTTGCCATCATCGCCGCGTCTGTGTCCATCGTCTTGATTAGCGACCACTCAATACAGACAAGCAAACAGGGTGTATATTTCTCAAGGGCGATCTCATTCAGGTGCCATGCTTTTGTCCAGTTCACCCGTCAAGCCGCCCTCCTGCTTGTGGTTTAGGGAAAGAAAAAAAGTAACAAAGAACGTACGATCATCTGCGGACGGCGCGGACTCAGGCTCGTCGGATCCTGACCGTGAAACGACGACGACATCGGTCTTTTCGGCAGGGTATTGGTCATAATCATCGACAAGCATGTCGTTCTCCGCGAGCTGGTATAACAGGGTTAGTTCCAATGACGACACTAGCGAGGGGCACGGTCGGGGAATCTCTCACGTTTTCCATCGCGGAAAGCGCCTTCCCGTCCCGGAAGGCGTCAGAGTTTGTAATTTAAGAAAAAGGTTTGTGAATAAAAAGACAGAATGTTGGAAAGAAATACACTGTAGAGCCTGGTGGTGGAGGAAATTCGTTCTGAACCCGCAAAATAATAAGGGCCGGAGCTAGCGGTGGCGGAGCCTCGAGGGCTCGGCAGTGATATTGAAGGATAGGATGTTGTTGTTTAGGAGATCTGTCTTTGATTTAGATGCTTATTTATAGAGTTAATATGGCTTTTTTTTCACTAAGCTCTGACTTCTCTCTCTCTCTTCTCGAATTGAAATCAATAGTTTGTTTAATTGGTAGTGTGTAATGATATATGCAGAGTAGAGTATACGGTGAAGAAAGCCCTACTTTGTACCAGTCTGATTCTATCCATCATAGATAGATACATATATATGCTTTACTTCTGCATCTCAACCAATATATATATATATATATATCTCTCTTTGTATGCTCTCAATCATCCAAATTTCCCCAGTTCACCTTCAGATGAGATGGTACGTTAGCCCCAAGTCCGTGCGAGTTGCCTCAGATCCGAGGCAATTTGGGATGAGAACTCAGATCGTATGACATTGACATTTGCAGGGTTTGAACACTCACATATATAAAGACCTCGGGATAGTTATACGACATATAACTATATGGATATATACACAGACACAAGCAAAAACAAAAACCCAAAAAACAATACCAAAGCCGGTGGGTGTCACATGCTTTCAAGGTTGACTCACCGCCCGGAAACCCCAAACTCTTGAAGTCCCAACTACGCGCGTGCGCAAGATAGTGAGCACTTATATGGTCTCGGTATTCATTGAATGAGTGCATGGAGCACAATGAGGTTGACTTATCCAGCTAGAAGCTGGCAGCTCCTCCGGTCTCCCTTGAAGCGCTGCTATTCCGGAGCTCATAGCCCGCCACCATGGCGGCCAGTTTCTGCAGTAGATGAGTATGGATGACTGACGTTGATAAAGCCTAAAATGGTACATGATACTGACTGGGATATGCTGGCAGGTGGGTGGAACGAGCTATTCGACCTATCAGTCTTCGTCAGTTGACCTTTTTCGGTCGTACCTTGACCGAACCACGACTCATCAGTTCCGCAAACTATGTGCGGACTGAGCTACCTACTCGGTAAGTTGGGAGACAATTTGCGGAATCCTCCGGAAAAAGTAAAAGTTCTGATCATGATTCTATTGGATAGCCTTGCGCATCGTCTGCGAGACATCCAGCAGCTACCATACGTGGTAGTCGCCAACCCGCATCTCACCCTTGTATACGAACTGTACTACAAAGCATTTGAGCGGGCTCGGGTGGTTCCTGAGATTCGGACCCTCGAAGATAATGACCGTTTCTGTGACATCCTGAAGGAGATGCTACGAGAGCATCTGGTTGCGATTCCCAACCTGGCAATAGGAGTGCTCGAATGCCGCAATCTCGCCCCAGCGGACGAAATGGACCGGTTAATGAACACACTTTTGCGAGCGGTATGTAAGCTCAACCTCTGATCTGCCTCCTAACTGACAATTATCTCCTCGGCAGCGGATCTCTCGCCGAGTCATCGCAGAGCAACACCTGGCTCTAACGGAAACCTTCAACTCGCCATGGCATTTCCCCGATTCCCACGACCGAACCGACATGAACGCAGACTTTGTGGGTGAAGTGTTCCTAAAGTGCAAGGCGAAGGAGGTAGTCGAGCGATGTGGGAAAGTCGCACAGGATCTGATGCGGAACATATCAGGGTCGACTCAGATTCCCGCCATCACCGTCAAGGGCCATGTGGACGCGACCTTCCCGTACATCTTGAGCCACTTGGAGTATATCATCGGAGAACTTCTCCGCAACTCAGTGCAAGCCGTGATGGAGAAATATCAGGATTCAACCGAAACCCCACCACCCATCGAAGTGCTCGTGTGTGAGACCCCGCAACATGTGATAATGCGCATATCTGATCAAGGAGGAGGCATTCCTCGAGAGATTTTGCCGTATCTATGGTCCTTCAGCAAGGGACCTCGCACTCAATCCCGGTTGGAAAATCTCGGACAGGTCCCTGCGATGGCGGCGACGATGCAAGAACTGCAAGTGTCACACGACCGTAAACACACCGGCCGGGATTCGTATCATGAAGGATCCCTGGATACGTTGACATCACGACCGCCTAATCTCCGTCTAGGGATGGGTCTCCCCATGAGCCGAGTCTATGCTGAATATTGGGCAGGCAGTTTGGAACTGCACAGTCTCGAAGGGTATGGAGTGGACGCATTTTTGCAGATCTCCAAGCTTGGCAACAAGAACGAACAAGTTACAACTCGGGCAGCAATTGATGCGGTATAAGAACTTGATACTGGGAATCTTACAGAAAATGTATTCCCAGTACCTCTAAATCTGCTCCAAGTCCGTCCAACGTACCTGCCCTACCTGTCCAGTCAATCGTGCTTGCCATCTACTTGCCAATGTACGCCTGGGCACAATAACCAGCCACATCTATCGACAGATGTGGCGGTGACAGTTCGGCATGACGTCATGGTCTGTTCCAGCAAATCAGCTTCACGGATTTGCCAGGCAACAATCAGGCACCCATGTAGGGCTGAGGCAACAATCAGGCACCAATATAGGGCTGAGGCAGCCCTGTCGAGATCAGGATCAATATCAAGATGAAACGCCTTAAGTCCCCTGTGGACAACTATTTATACCTCCATCCTTCTATTCTCAATTCTTCTCCTCAATTTTCTCGCCACCACCGATTTCAAACCTCGATCTTCCAATCCTCCAATCCTGAACAATAACACCGTTTACATCAAACATCCAACATCAAACATCAAACACGATGGCCGCCGGCGGTTTCTCAACCCTTTTTATGATCCTCATCACCGTATTCAGTAAGTCAACACTTTTTGTTACCTGAAAAAAACCACCAAAACAAACGACCCCCCCACAGTGATCCCTGATCGCCCCTCAATCTACGTGTATCAACCCATCCCCACCGGAATGACCCGCTAACAAACCAAACAGTTCCCCCCTTGGCGTCTTTATGCTTGGAGGTTGTGGAGTTGACTTCTGGATCAACATGCTGCTTGCACTTGTCGGGTGAGTGTTACACTGGATATCCAGACTCCTGTCGTATTCGAAAACTAACCATCTTCCCAGTTACTTCCCCGCACACGTCCATGCCATCTATTTGGAATACGTCTATATTGATCGTCGCGGTCGCGATCCACTGACTCGTGCCTCTCTGCAGCGCGCACCGTTCGTCTTCTCCGATCGTATCCAAAATGGAGGCCATCGACGTACATCTGCTGGCCGTACTCACGGTACCGAGTGAGTTCCTTTCGATGTCTCCGAACTCTCTTGTTCGACATCCATCACCCCGTCTGTCGAGGGTCGGCGACCAAGCAAGTCTCTAACACTGATGTATCAATAGCGTCGACCCCAATGAAACAACAAATAATTCCACTGCGATGAAGATGCAATTCGTATGTATCATTTTTTTCAAAATGCAAATGTAGGAGGTGAGCTATCTAGAAGCTCCCAAAAGTAAATAAAAAAACAGGTAGATCCCAACTCCCTATCTCAACAGACCCAAGTCAAACGTAGCCTATACATTCGCCTGCCCCGCCTTCTCCGCCTTCTCCGCCTCCTTAGCCCTCTTCTCCGCAGCAGCCTTCTCATTATCCTTCACCTCGGGGAAATCAAAAGGCTCACTATTAACAATGGTCCCGGCAGTCCTAGGCACCGCACCGGTACCAGGCGCCCACAACAAAGCCCCAACCCAAGGCTGAACATTCCATCCAACATGAAGGGTAACATTCTGACGCTGCGCCAGACGACCAGTAATATCACTGATCTGGTACTTACCCTTCTGACCACGGAGTCTCAGAACACCAGGGGCGAGAGGCTCCTTCTTACTCTTCTTCGCCTTAACCGATTTAGCATGGCGCTTGGCATTCCTCTTGGCAGCGGACACGGCCTGCGATGTAACAGACGAGGGAATACGCGCGATGACCTTGTCTTTGAGGATATCCCATGAATACGGCGATGGGGTGGCGGGGATGATAGTGTCCCAGATGATGGATTCTGAGAGACGGGCTTGCGAGCCGGGGATATCGGAGGAGGAGTAGGTAGCGTAGACGTAGACGAAGAGCTGTTTTGTGTTCCAGTTGAAGAGGGGGCTTAGGTCGGCGTCTAGGTCGAAGCGGAGCTGGGCGTATTCTTCACGTTTGGTGGAGTAATAGTGTGGTCGGCCTTTGGCACTGTTGTACCGGAAATGGGTATTAGTAAATGGAGGTTTCGTTTTTATTATCTTCTTTGTTCAGGGGGAGTGTAGGGTTGGAGGGGGAAATCGTGATTTCAACTTACACCGAGACGTTCTTCAGTTGCACCGAGGCATTGGCGTCGTCTGCTGGGAAGAAGATGACCGAGATGGCTGCCAGTGCGCTGACGACCAGCGCGACCGTAGTGAAGAAGCCGAATACGGACTGGATGCGGTTTAAGGAGGAATGCATGGTGTGTTTGGGGTCGAATTGAGAAGATGAAGCCAGCTGGGCCGGTTTGGATGTTTGGCCTCTTATCGATAAGCGGGATCTATAGACCGGGGCCGTCATCTCCGCATAGATAACCCATGGCTTCGGTCTTCTCTCTTTTTATGACTTTCTTTATAGACAGAGCTTGAGCTGGATTTGGTAAATTCATATATTACCTCAATTTCATAAAACTCTCTATCTCAGACCTGTACTCAACCCTCACACAAGAACCAACAAACTCACCAAGCCCAACCCTACACCAAACACAATAATGGGCGATCACGTCCTCTTCTTCTATGGTATGTCCCTCTCGAATTAAGAGAAAGCAGAATCTAAAAATCTTCTAGGAACCCTAATGGTCCCGCAAATCCTACACAAAGTAATCCACGGCCAGGAAAACCCAGAACCCTGGCAAAAAGCCATGCTCCGCTTCCAACCGGCCATTTTACACGGGTACCGACGACATCGCGTGCAGAATGCCGATTACCCAGCCATTGTGGCAGTACCAGAGCCAGCAATTGAGACGGAGAAGTCATCTGATTCGAAAACCAACCCTGGGACATCAGTTCTAGGAACCCTCGTGTCGGGACTAACAGACGGCGACGTTTACCGGCTGGATAGGTTCGAGGGGTCTGAGTATGAGAAGAAATCAGTTGTTGTGCGTACGCTGCGGGAAGCATGTGGTGGTGATAAAGATCATTCTGGTGAAATGGGTACTGCCGAGAGCCAGCTGCGCGAAATGCTCAATGCAACAGGTGCTAAGGTTATTAATGAGGGAGAGGAGGAGGTTTGGGCTGTGACTTATGTGTGGACTGCTGGGAAAGATCTGCTCGAGGATACGGAATGGGATTTTGAGTCGTTTAAGAGGGATAAGATGGCGTGGTGGGTTGGGGTTGGGGCGAATGAGAGTGAGTGGTAGCTCATTCACGTACCTAATTATATGTAACTAGTTATTATTGATACTTTGTCGAAAAATAACGATTAAATTCGCATTGCGATGGGGCCGATGGTATCTGATGCTAAGGTTGTAAAGACAAGAAGAAAAAAAACACCATCCCTCTCTCATCCAACGCCGACGCAGGGCTATGCGCGGGACAGGCCATGATGCACATGGATTAAAACGCTAAAACAACAGGGAAAACATGAAGTAGACGGTCAGTTCCGGTCCAGCCGGTACTGTGTTCGGATGTCAGATTATCTTAAGAGACAAGAGGGTTGTATCACTTAGATGAACAGACTCATCTCTTCCGCGAAGGGCCTCGTGGGCTGTGTTTCCTTCGCTCTTTTCTTGGAGGGGGCGGTGTGTCTCGTACTTCGGGCTCGTCTTGGCTACCGGGTACTTGGATGATGGGTTCCTCCCTTGGTGGAGCAACATGGCGGTTTGGCGACTTTGTGTCTGCAGGTGGGTCGGAGGATGCTTTGTGTGGTTTCGTGTGTTTCTCGGTAGGTAAGGTAGGTAAGAGATGCATCTGGTCCGCGGCTGAATCTTCACTTGAGTCTTCGGACTTTGAATTGGAAGTCTTCACAGGGCCCTTTGAAGGATCTGCATCATGCTGAGACTCAGGTACCACATCGACCTCCGCAAGTTCTTCTTGGCAAGGGAGGGGCGGGCCGAGCAGGAATGAAACGGGTCGTCTGGCGGCCATGACTGGTTCATCGGCTTGCCGCTGTTCCTCGTACAGTTCGTCTAGGAACTTGCCAAATCGGTATCTCAGGATACCAGAGCCAAGTGGAGGCCAGTCATCTCTGGAACTCATACTCCGCTGGAGCACCTTCGTGGTGAACCAATCAGGACTTTGAACAAACTTCTCCAAGTATGCCAGCAGATAGAGACCGCAGTCCCAGAAATTAGGCTGCAGGGGGATATCGCGAGCTCGCATGCCCTTGACTTTGGTCGGGTCAAGTTCCACGCCGCGTTTAGACGCCGCTTCGCGGCAAATGTACTCGCGCAGGATTTTGATGGTGGGGGAGCGAGGCATGTCGAGGGAGTCAAATGTGATGATCGTTGTTTGGTTGGGATCCAACTTTAACCCAGTTCTCTTCTTCTTCGACTTGTGCGTCGGTTGCGACGCCGCGGCCTGATCTTGGGCGAGCTTCTGGGCAGCGAATTTGGAGAGATTTGGGGGTGGAAGTGGGTGCTGGTCGGGCAGGTCCCCACTGGTCTCAGATCCCTTTCGAATCTCACGGGATTGACTTCCCTTGTCAGAAGTGTTGGGCTCTGACTTTGATCTCTGTTCCGGCTCAGGAGTCTCTTCAATTTCCTGGATCTCACTCTCAGACCCAGTGGATGATTCTTTCTGTAGAGTCGGTGTTTGAACCGACTCTACGCCGTTGGCAAAACCAAGAGACAAACTTGGCAAGTTGCAAATAATTGCAACATACCAATGCGCATTCTCATTGATGGGAACGACGATATAATCATAACTGAAGAGATCGACGTTCCGAGTCCACTTCTCAACACCACCGTAGTTGATCCCACGGTCCCCCGTGGGGTGTTCGTGAGAGTCGCAAAGAGGTAGGTGTTGAAGAAGTAGACTCGTTTGGCAGCCTCTGGGTTGGTGCGTTCGAGGTGGTCCTGAAGGAAACGCATGTACAGGGCGATCAGGTTATCGTTCAGGAAGTCATCCCGAAGTAACCGCTCGCGATCGCCGAGGGTGACCTCGGCCTTCTTCTTTCCATTTCGCGGATACACCAACGGTTTGCTCCACCTGTACCTGAAAGAATCATCTCTGAGAAGTGAGCTCGAGTGTGCTCCGGATGTGATCCCTCCAGACGACACGCCGGGATTGCTAGCGACACGGCGGGTAGACGACCGGGTTTCGCGTTCCGGTGGGTTGACGGTAGCTCGAACATCGACTCCAGTGTCGTTATCAAGAGGTGGGGAATCCTGTTCCTCTTTGGCATTCGTTTGAGAATCAATGCCACTTCCATATTTTCCCTTTTCCTGAGCAGAGCGTTTGATCTCAAGTAGATTCACATTGCTGACTTCACCATGATCATCTTTCAAGGACTTTGAAAGTTTGGGTCGTCGCGAGGGAGGAGGGGAGTGCGCAGGATCGGGACCATCCACCAAATCATCAAGAAGCCGCTTCTTGGGCAGCTTGTTCTCCTGTGGGAATTGCTTTTCGTATTTCAAAAAAGCCTTGTCCATCCATTTCCTGCTCCAATGTTAGTGAACTGCGAACTCATTTAAAGATAGCCAATAAAACCTACATCTCTTTCATAAGACGCTGGGCCTTGATGTTGACGTGCTTCAACACATCCAGGAACTTGAGTTTTTCGTCGGCAGTCCAAAACTCAACGTCGAGCTGGTCGTCTGCTTGGACGGAACTTTGTAGCATTTTGATTCTCACTTTCCGGCTGGGGGGCTCGCCGATAAAAATTTGACGGATTTGCTGAAAAGGTATTGACATTGTGTTGCCCTGGTCGAGTGCACCCTCGCGAAGTTCAAGACCTTCATTGGTTGAATAAATCGAGACGAATTCCTTCATGCCGCAAGATTTGCCGAAGGAGCCGGTTCGGAAGTAGCGCAATAGGTGTTTCTTATCAGAGTTCTTTTGAGAGACCTTAGCCTTTTTTGTAGCGGGTGATGGAGGCGGAAAGTCTGGAGTCCGGGGATCGGACGGGGAGCGTTTTCGAGTCGTTGGTGATGTGTGCATTCCGGGCTTCGATGGGTGGGTGGTTTGAATCTGTGTTCCTGAGGAGGGTCTCGGTATTGGATGTGTGGTGATGTCGCCCTGAAGCTCATCTGGACTTTCCCTGCCGCTGACAGGACGATGGATGTTCGTCGAAGGAACCGCAGTGCGATTCCGACCAGCTCTCTTTGGTCCATCGTCAATAGTCCCAATAACAACGGCCTCATTAGTCTGGTTAGACTTGTAATTGACCTGAGATAGAAGGGGATCCGCAGATCTCGCCTGACGGCGTTGCTGTGCTGCTGTTTCCGTAAACCTTTCATCCCGAGAGCCCACAGAAGAGAATTGGCCATGCTGAGGACGAATAGAACTTTGCGCTACTTTTACGCAATTCTCCGCATCCCTGGAACCCTCATGTCGGTTGCGACGAGTTGCATTTGGGCGGGAGAGAGAGGGATGTTCCAGTTGATCCATGGTTGGGTTCACTGAGGCTGTGAGGTCGATGGTTTCACTAGTTTCACTCTGGCGCCGCATCTTGGTAGGCCGACTCGACTCTTCGAACTCATCTTCAGAGTGGCGCGACTTCATCCGTGAAGTTTGTTGATTTGATCCTCCGTAAGAGCGGACCGGCCCGCTGCTTCGGGCATTTTGTGAAAGTTTGTTCACGGGGGAGGGCGCGAAGCTAGACTGTGACCGAGGATCAGATGGGATGTCATAGTCATGGATATAAATGCGGGAACTTACCCCTGGTTTCTTGTTCCTAGCATGAAATGCTCCAGGCTTTATCTTGACAGCGTTGGAGTCACTATTGAGCCCCAAAAAAAAGCTGGTTAGCAACAATATCTCCAACGAGTCCACACACACTCGTAGAACATACGGATATCTGGCTCCGAGCAAACGAGCCTCATCTTGCCGATTCTGGGAATCCTTCTGCTTGTCCTTGTTCAACATCGGCGACGAATCACCCTGCCTGGGAATGGGTGGGGGTATCAGCTTTTGCCTGCCGGCGGGGAAACGCTGTGGGTTCCGATGGGACATGTCTAACCGGGAAATGGGACTTAGAAAAGGGTGGAAGGAACTGGTGCGCAATGGTTCGTGTTCGTCTGCGGTTGTAGATCTAGTTGGAGACGAAAAAGTATCGACATAACTATGAACAACCTGATGAAACAATTAGTCCCAAGTTGTATATGTGAGGATAGCTTGCAACAAGAAAACAGGCAGAGCTAAGAGATAAGTGCGCAAGTCGAGGAGATTGGGTAGGGTCGAGTTATCAAAAAGCAATATGCACGGCCAAAGAGTAAATTATCGGCGGGACGCGCATGGAGATACGGGAGCATACACACCGTTGGAAGAGGAGCGATCCCAGCGTCTCGGGGAGAGGTGGTTTCGGTCAGGTTGATTTTGTCAGATAGTAGAGTAAAGGGATTTGGACCAGATCCAGCTGGTCGAGCACGAGGAGGGGTCGAGGGCGGTGGTCGAGCTTGTTCAACAGCAGATCGTTGATCTTCGGTCTCACGTTGGCGTCGCGGTGACAAGTTAGAGAAGAGGTCAACTAGGTTTTTAAACACAGGCATGAAGGCAGGCACAAGGTCATGGCAGTCTGAATTGAATAGATCCCATTCAATTGATTGTTTATCTATTGTCTCTTTTTTTTCTTCATTCATAGGACACAAGCACGCCGCATCGTCATCAGGGCGGTCAGCATTGATTGACGCCTGAGGACTTAGGCATTACATAACCATTCACTGTTTGATAGCTAACTATCTTGTCTTGGAATAGTTAGTTATTGGGATAGATGAATAGATGAATAGGTTCAATATGTTCCAAGGGATCGATTGCATTGTTTGAATGATTCATTTATTCATACCCTTTTGTCTTTTTGCCTTATTGACACTATTAACAACAATAGCTCAATGGCCACCCAATAACGCTAACAACCCTACATAGTTACCAGGGTGTCTTGCATATAGCTTATTGCACCCCTATTGTCGGGACCGTATACCAATACCTTTGGTTGCCTTGTGCATACATAGTCGTAGTTCTCTAGCAGCGCCCTAACTTTGAATAGACGAAGTCTAACCATGTGAAAGGACTCTACTTCACAGAAGAAACCATTTCACCACGCAAAGAATAGACAATACTCCCAGGCGAGAAAACCGATAGCAGCTAGTGCTGCATTCATGTTGGGTACATAAAGGAAAAACATCACGCATGAGCTCGGTAGACACAAAAAAAAGTAACACATAGCACAGATGAGTTCACTCAAGACATAAATCAAATCAAACCGCTTAGTTCGCCTCGATGCCCCACCGCCCCTAAGACCCAAACGCGTCCCAATGATTCGTGATTGAAGGTTTTTTTTTTCGGGTTTACTATACAGGGCCCAAGGCCAGGCTGGGATCATGGATCCGTTCATAGGGCCCACAGCCGGTTTAGCCTTGTCCGAGTCATCTTGGCCTGTACGCCGCCGTTCTTGATGGCCGGTGCCAGTGGCAGTCTTATCGTGGCGAGCCTGGTCAATAGCAGAACGCTGTGCAATACTGTCGTCGTGGCTCTTCCAGATGATGTTGGTGTCTGCCGGAAAAGAAAGCAGGCGCTTGATCGTTTCTCTGGAATCGAGTTAGATATACCACACAGTGGTAAGAAAAAGCAGGGGTTTTTGTTTTGTACATGCCTGATCTTGATGTTGCGCCCCCCGTCAATCCTCGTCCAAACACTCAAAACATCCTCACCGCCTCGCACGCTCAGCACAGCGCCGCAGACTTCATCTCCGGCCTCTGCAAACTGGTCCCCAACCATAGCCAAGAGGAGATCCTCCCAGTATCGATCAGAAACCCCTTTCTTGAAACGTACGATCCACTTACCTCCCCCGCTTGTTCGCCTCATCTTCCCAGACGGGGCGAATTCCCTTCTTGAAGATATGGTAGTCGGAAACCGTAGGAAGAAGAGAGGGCCGTTTAAGATGAGAGTACACCGCCCAGAAGCTCTCTACCGAAGATATCGAAGCGAGCGGCACGGTGGACTTTTCATAGTCGGAGTATTTGGGTGTCGGGGGGCGGTACCAGACGATCCACGTAGACTTCAACGGGTGCTCACCAGGAGCAGCGACGGATTGGTTCTCAAAGGCCTTGCGGGTAGCCTCATCATGTTCCAATGGTACCTCCCGTCCGGGTGTTTTCAACTCGGAGCCACCGGGAGTTTTGGGCGCACCGAAAGAGGCGAATGCGCCGGACCCCAGACCGAAGGCGGAGGAGGCATTGGTGGATGGGGAGGAAACGCCGCCGGATAATGGGGATATTGCGTTAAATGGATTCGAGCGGCCATGCGAGCTGTCGGGTCCGAATCGCTTGGATGGGCGGGGCAGTTCGACACGGGCACTGTCTTTCACGTCCGCTCCGGACGTAGACAGGGACAACTTGGACGAGCTAATAAAATGGAAGAAAAAACACCAATATAAGTTACAATGGTCAACCTGGATGAGGAGGGGCACACGACTAACTTTGTCCGGCGGGTCCACAGGTTTGCATTATCCATCGCGGCGGGTGAGAAGACTGCCCGAGACACGAGCGGTCATCAGGGGGAAAAGAAAGGATCCGTAAGAAGCGTTACACAGAGAGATGAGACGCCGGCGCTATTATCTCAGTGACGTAGTATAGTGGCAGATGGTAGGCAAATTCTTTGAGGAATAAGAAATTCGGGAGGGGAAAATCCAGGGAGAATAAGTGAGTTTTTGAACGAGGGTAATAGGGGAGGATATTGGTAACGTTGTTTTTTAAGAAAAGAAATATCGAAATAGAGAAACAAATGTATAGAGGGGGGAATCAGGTTGAAGGGGAAAAGTGTCGATATGAATCGGAGACTCGACTGCAGTTTGGAGGAGTAGCTGTTCTGACCAATCAGAGTCAGGTGAGCCCCATTTTCGCCTGCAGCCCGCACCGTCTTTTTTCCAGATTTTCCTTTTTCTTTCGTTTTTTTTCTCTTCGCATCTTCTTTTTCTTCTTCTTCTTTTTATATCAAAGACCACCAAACTCAAATCAACGCTGGCGACTCATTACTTTTTACAGCACTGGCGTTTCCGATGTGTGTGTCGAGATTAAATTGATCGCATCTAAAACCATCATCACGAGGGCTTACGAGCAACCCATGAAACGTTGATGACCTGATTGACGGCACATCCACTATCTTTGTTTTTTTTTTTTGTTTGTTTCTTTCTTTTAATGTAGTATAGGGTACCTAGGTACGTCTACTCAATAGCAATCCATCTCTATTCTCATTCTTCTTTCCACATATTTCAATGCAATGAAGAAACTCTTTTGAGCTCTCTGGTAATCCGAGGTCTCAACCGCCCTACTACTTTGGCCTTCGGGCTCACGGGCTGGATGAGCATGCGGTCAACAGGCAAAGTCTGAGCCTTGAAATATATCTTGGAATATGCCATATATGTGACCAATGAACTGATACCTGGTAACTTACCTACATAACTTACCATGGACGACACATGCTTGCGTTGAACTTGCGGATGCCTTAGGCACTGACACCACAGGGACATGGATCGTTATCCCTTTCCCTCTACCCATCTCTCTCTTTCAGAGTAGTTTACTTCCTCTTTAATGGACTTTTTTCTTTAATCTCTATGCCGCTTCAACACTAAAATCTCCAAACCAACAATACTACCCCGATTCCAATAGTGAAGATGATCGGCAACTCAGCTTTTTCTCTTCGGCCTCGAGGGCACTAAAATCACCCTTCCAAGCTCCGACTCCCTCAAAATCCGCGGCAATACATGGGTGATCGATAAGAAACTCAACGAAGTCTCTTGCAATATCACGCGCGAGGACCTTGACCGTGGTGGTGGCACTAGGACTATGCCATCTTTTACAATAGGAAAGTTCTCGTGCCACCAGGTGGGAGCCCCCGCGGAGTCCGCTTTTATGAGAATCTACTGTCAAGTTCCGATCGAAGAAACCCAGATTCTAAGCCCCGATGTTCGAGCTAAGCAAGCAGTTCCTCCTTACCAACACAGTGAGGTTATGGCATTGAAAAGGTTCAGGGAAGGTGGCTGCACAGTCGTGCCCGAGCTTCTTGGGTATAGCGAAACTGTCCAAAGCAGAGATGGACTCGTGCCTGGAGGGTATATCATATACCTCGTATGGGATAAAGTCCCAGGCGAGTCATTGTCACGAAAAGTTTTCTGGTCATTCGAAGCACCTGAGCGAGATCTCATTCGTCGAAAGTTTCGAGCCGCTTATGAGTAGTTCACAAAATCCTTACTATAGGTAAAGCTGACATGAATAATAGGGATCTAAGATCTTTCGGCTATCTGTCAATAGTAAAAACCCCAGCTAAGCTTATCTGGGACAAGGATTCTGCCCAGCTACATATCGCTGGATTCTCGACGGCAACCGAAGTCGACCCTACCAAGGAATGGACTGATGACGTTTACGCAATGTACCATCTTCTCAAGCGACCCAAGATTGGCTGGGAGGATATCACTCGATGGGAGTGGTGAAACGAGAGAAGATCAAACACCGGGTGACAGTAATTGAGAGGAGACTTTACTTCATCTATGAAGATGCGAGCAGGTTCCCCTCCCTTTTTTGGAGATGTGAGCGATTATCTTAATGTCCTCTTAATGTGTGATAACCAAATTGCAATAAGGATTGCTACTTAGTTCCTTTTGCTTCCTTATGCTTATATTCCTAAGATTTATCGTAAAGACAAGTATGACAAGCCTGAGTGTGAAAGCCATAGTGATATTGATATGTGCTATGGACAATAGACAGCGACAATAGTGCACATCTATGCTTGTTGGGTAGGTATGTAGTACTCTTCCAAGGTTGTAACCTTTACAACCTTAGAAGAGACGACTGCTCACACCTCCAAAGGAGAGGAATCTGCTTGCGTCTTCATAACTGAAGAGGAGTCTTCTTTCAATTGGTATTCTTCCCCTGTCACAAAATATCGACCCATTGCGAGGCCATCAGTTGGTTGTCGACAGATCTTTGTGGTAATGCCAGAGTGGAAATACGGAAGAAGCATTCCCTTAGGGACACAGTTGGCGATATATCGGCCGGGTTTGATTTGATATAAGCATCGGATGCAAATATCACTGGCGAGCAATCGACGACCCATTCCACACCGTTATGACGTTGTCTAAGGAATATTGTTTCCTTGTAAGTAGAGAGGAAACCGTACGGAGTACTCCATACCTTCATATATTTCAGAGGCTGGGCCAACAATATTCGCAGGTGAGATTCGGGGTCAAAATGGCGGACTGTATCCCGGGAAAATGGGATGCTGTGTTCATCCACCCAAGGCACTTTGAACTCGCTGATAACCTTTAGCTGATTGTTCGATGTTTTCATGTTGCTTTTCCTGGTACGAATCCGTTTTGCTTTGGGAATTTGTCTGTCATTGCCAGCAGTGTGTCGAATCCTTCGGGTGTCTTTGGCAAACCGGTAATGAAATCCATTGTGATTGTATAGGATAAGGAATTGGAGGGGAGAGAATGGGCTGAAGCAAGCCGTATGGTCTGTGGTGTGGAACTCTATGTTCCAGATACGTTAGGCATTTTTGGATATACTGCTTTAAGGGGCGTTTTTCACGTTGGAATTGTGCTACCATGATCATTGGTGGGCCGTGGGCCCAACCAAGTGGTGCCGGATCTTCTGGGGTTCGAGTTGCTCGTACGTGACCGTTCTTGTCAAAGTCCAGGGGATATTTTCTCTTTAATCTTTAATAGGGGTTAAATCAGGTAAAAAGATAGGCCATTCTACCATAATAACCCTAATAACCCTAAGCTCCTCGAAGGAATCAAGAGTCTCTTTAGTAGTATACCTAGGAGAATGATCGTATATAACAATCGGATCTTACTCCCTTCTTAGATGGAAGAAGCCTTCTATTATAACACGTATAATATAGGATTTAGTATGTAGATATAGGGACTTTTAAAGTAAATTGAAATGAATTGAATCTGAAGTGAATCTGAAGTGAATCTGAAGTGAATCTGGATTGAATCTGAAGTGAATCTGGATTGAATTGTATTGGTATGTAGTATGTAGACTGTTGTAGACTTGAAATCGGCAAACCGTATATCAAGTGTCTGTGTGCGAAAACCCATCCCGAGTACTTGACTGATTCCTTGTTAGAAACGTCCTTGTACTCCACTCTCATCTCCAACGAATACTTCATTTCCCTCGAGATTGCGTGAGTTCAAGGAGTATTTGATGGTCTCGCTACTCCAGTTCTGGCTGTCGGTTCGTGCTCCTCACGCACTGACGGAAATTGGCCCAATCGTTCAATTCTCCCCGATACTTAAGGCGTTTGAGGGCACTGGATGTTGTGTGGAATCTGTTAAGTAGAGGAGGAAGGGGCTCTTGGATTACCTCCCTGACACGAATTGGCTTGACCATGACGCAGGAGATTGCTGTTTTGATGACTGGATGTTAGTAATACTTGGTATCATACAGCGCGCTCACGGTGCAGGATCTGAAGAACGTACCAGCTTAGGCAATTGGTTAGAGGTAGAGATTTCGTCCGAAAGCTTCTCAAAGCTGTGCCCTATATCTCTATACTCACTATTGAGATCCCAGAAGCTCCTTTATCTATGTTGTATGTGACCAGTATTAGTGAATCGAAAAAGCTGTGACTGGGTACAAGTATGTATATGGTTCAGATTGGACAAAGACAAAGACGTAAAGACAAGCTAATAACACGATTGAAAATACAAATATACATAAAACAAGCCATTACAGCTCCTCTTCCTCAACGTCATTTTTCTGGCCGAGATCAATAGACCAGACAAAGGCCTTCAGATCCAATGTGTCTTCAGCACTGGCAGCCTTGCCAGACCCGAAGTTCTTCAAGTTCCACTCCTCGACACCACTGACACCCTTCAGCTCATCGCCGAACTCAGCAAAGAGACCGGCGCTGAGGGTCTGATATTCGCTGTAATCTTTGGGCCAGTCACCTAGACGCTGCACGGAGAGCTTGAGTAGGTTAAGGTGGGCGCGGACGTGCTCGCCGCTAGACAACAAGTATCCACTGTCGGAGCCATGCTCTTGGATGTTCAGGTCGTAGGCGGAGCCGTCCATGCTGAAGTTGGTGTCGAGGTTACCTTCGAACTCGGCAAGCGAGGGGTCGACTAAGATGCGGAGGAGGCTCTCGTGTACCGCGGCGCTCTTCTTGAAGTACTTGTTAGCCATGTGCTGGCCGCTCTTGTCGGACTGGTAGCGCTGCGCGATCGCGGTGTACAGCTGCGAGAGCAGGGTGGACATCTCGAGAGTGTTGGTATGGCGAGTGCCGTTGACGCGGCGGCAGTTGTACAAGATGTCCTCAGCCAGGCGAGAGGCTTTAACGGCATCGCCAACCAGGAAACGGGCCAGGATGTACCGGCGGGCTAGGTTGAGGGTGACGGAGGGGGTCCAGTCGTTTTGCTTGTTGCGGCTATTCCAAAGATCGCTGAGGAGCCAGACAAGGTTCTTGTAGTCCTGCTGCTCACCGAGGACGCCGATGAGGGCATTAAGGTAGTCCAAGTTGATCTGGGCCAGGTTGATCTTCAGGTCAACGATGACGCGGAGGACTCCCTGGATAATGGTCGCGGACACACTGCGCAGTTTCTTCTGGACGGAAGGCTCTAGCTGAGAGAGGCCATGGCCAGAGATCAACAGACCCAAGCTGAACACGAACTTGGCAATCTGAGGGGTTCGGTAGACATCGTGAGCTGAAATGTAGCGGAAGGCAGCCATGGCGAGGTTGGTAGCAGCGTCGTAATTTTTGGCCTCAAGCAGCTGGAGGACCTTGGCGTTGGAGGCAATACCGACCGACCGGACGAAGTTCGAGGTCTGGTGCTGAGTGAGATAGCCGATCATGGTCTGGAGGAAGACAGTCACCTGAGCACTTTCAGTCAACTTGATGCGTGCCCCTTCGGTGGAAATGAAGTAAGCGACAAAGTCATCGAAGACACGGTTGGCGGCTACCTGGCGCTTGTTGGCGAGGAGGAAGTTGTAAAGGCGGGTAGCAGAAACAGCGACCGTGGAGAAAGAGCTGCTCTTGGACTTGGTGTGGCTTTTGAACTCCTCGAAGTAGACATACTCGGTAGTCAAAGAGGCGAGAATTTCAGTGACGCTGGAGGTGCCCTGGTGCACGCTGTGCTCAAGCTGAGCCAAGAAGGCAAGGCTTTGGCGGCCCTTGGATGAGACATCGAACTGGGTCTCCTTGGAGTTAGAGGTGTCCTTCATGACGATCTGACGGTAGAGCTCCTGGGACAGCTCAACGGCCTTGTGCGCCTGGCTGGTGGTAATGTAGCCGGTCGCAATAGTGGTGGCTGCGGCCACAAGGCGCTCCGAAGAGGTCTCAGAAGATAGGATCTGCTTTGTTGACTCGCGCAGCTCCTGGGACACACGCTGGGTGTCCTGGTGACTGGAGTGGAATGAGATTACCTCCTGAAGTTTGGAAAGACTCTCCTCGTGAGCCCAGCCGTAAGTCTGGCGAGAAGAGTCAATCCGCTTCCGCATGATCTTAGTGACGCGCTTCATCTGCTCAGAGGACACGGCCTGAGACTTGGAGGTAGCGCTGGCGGTCTGCTCCTCGAAAATGCCGTCAAGGATGACCTCAATCTCCTCAAGGTTAACGCCAGCAGGCTTGAGCTTGAGGAGCTGCTCATAGAGCGCGATGGCGTCACCCTCAGAGGTCTTGGTCTCCTGGCACACCTTGGCAAGAGTCAAGGTAGCTTGGACGGTGATCGTAGCGGTGGCTCCAAAGACTAGTTTGACCTTGTTGTAGAACTCGGAGGTAACCTTGTGGACGAAGGCAAACTCAGTGCGATTATTGCGCAGGCAGTGAGTGTAGCGATCGAAGACTGACTGCACAAAGGCCGCATCCTGGAATTTAGGGCTTTGCTTGGGCTGCTCCAAGAAAGTGGTGAAGAGCAGGGTAAAGTAGGGGACGGCATCAGTGTAGCGAGTTTGGGCCCAAAGCTCAGTTGCAACAGTGATGGCAGGCTCCAATGCCTCGGGCTTGATGACCGACGAGTGCTTGTTCAAGGCGAGAACGATGCGTTGGTAGTACTCCACAAAGACGGGGCGAGGACGGGTAAGCTCAGCCAAGGTAAACAGGGTCTTGATCACAGTGGGGTGTTCAGGGCCATAGTGCTTGGTGTAGTCCTCCAAAAGCTCTTGATAAGTGTCGATGACCTTGTCGGGCTGGGAGGACCCCTCGAAGAAGCTGATCAGCTGATCCTTGACGGTCTCCCTCAGCTTGTCACCCACTGGCCGGTTGACACGGACCGCACGATACACGCGGACGCGAATGCCTTCCTCGCGGGGGAAACGACGGCGGTAGTGGTAGCACTGGCTCAAACGCTCGGCAAGGTCCACAGCCTTGTCACTGTGCTCCTTGGGGAGAACAACATCTTGGATTGAAGGAGCGAACAGAGAAGGCCAAACCCCAAGGAGAACCTTCTTGAGGAGACGGGTGGCATCCTTCCAGCGGTGCTCCTTAGTGTATAAGGTCAGCAAAGTACTGGTTGCTGTGAACGAGCTTTGGTCGAGTTTGGAGGAACTGGAAGCCTCATAGACAATCTCCTCCAAGGTAGTCTCGGAGAAGTGCGATGAGGATGAGCTAGCTTGTTTCTTGACATGTTGCGAGGTAGATTCGATGTGCTTTTGCATCGCCGAGTAGGATGAGGTACGGTTGGTACGCTGATAGAACGAGGCACAGTGCTTGAAGATGCCCAAGGCAGCGACGGTGAGGCCGACAGTAGTCATCACCTTAGCGATCTGCTCGAAGTGCGAAGTCGAGGACTCAGAAAGAGAGTGAGCGCTGTTCTTTTGCTCTTCCCAAACGCTGGACAGGATGGAAGAAGCCTCACCCTCTCTCTTCTGGGTGGTCAAAAACTTCGAGTAAACAAGAACAGACTGCAGCTTGTGCTCTTGGGTCTTAGCCTGCTGCCAGAGCTCGATGTACAGACGTTCGGCCAGGTCAAGGCGGCCACTGGCCGTGTACTTCTCGGCCTTGGTGATCTGGCCCTCGAACGACTCGTGCTTTTCGTGGACCTCGTCGTGCTCGGCATCCAGGTGGAAGTGAATGGCAGTGTCACCTTGGTCCTGCTTGTGGCCCTTCAGGCGAACACTGAGATCGCGGGTATCATCGCCGTCGTACTTGGTGGTGGTAAGATTCTGGATCTTGAGAGTCCAAGTCTGTATATTTGCCTCTTCCTTGGTCGCGCGGTAATGCTCAATCAGAGCCTTCATTATGCTGACTGTCTTCTCAGACTTCTCGCCGTAGTGGGCCTGGTAGCACTCGACAACGATGATGAGAAGCTCCTCACGCCTAGTCATGATATCGGACTTGGTGAAAGTGACCATGTCTACGGTCAGATCAAGGAACAACAGAGCCATCTGCATCGTGATGGTGTGAGTTTTACCGAGCAAAGTGCGACTGATGGTGGTAATCTCGTAGATAAGAGGGATCACCTCTTGGGTTTGGTCGACCTCACGGTACATCAGAGCCAACGAGATTATGGATTGGAATGTCACAGGGTGGTTGGTCCCCAAAATCTTGCGGTACAGGTCGGTAATAGTGGTGTGGTACGACATCAGTGTGGGTGTGGAGACGTTGTGCCAGAGCGTGTTCTGGAGCAGCAAAAGGGTAACGCTGGCTGGGAATACCTTGCCAAACTCTTTAGCAGTAAGGGCATTGCCACCGGTGGTGAAGGTCGTGGTCTGCTTCAAGTGGTGAGGCCAGTAGCGAATGGCGAAGTCAAGAAGGGGGTGGGTTTTCACACGGGGGGCCACATCACGGTCATCAAAGGGTGTGAGGGAAGGCTCATTCTGCTCGGGAACGGTGTACTTGATGTAGACCAAGAGGCGGGTGACGAGGTCAGTGTGGCGGTCCTTGACCCTGGGGATCAGCTTGCCCTTGGAGAACACATCCAAGACGGCGGTCTTAATTAGACCGTGACGAAGGTTCACTTGACCATCTTGCATGAAGACGATGGAGCTCAAGGGCTTCAAGACTTGATGAATGTTGATCTTGCGATCATTCACAACCTGCTTCTCCGGCTCGATGGAAGCCAAGGTGGTGAGTTCCCTTGCTAGCAGAGGACGGTCAGCTGTAGCAAGCCAAAGCAGCATGAGCTTGGCTTCTTCGGTGACTTCAGGAGCCTGGATGGTGTGGAGAACAAAGTCGGCAATGGGGGGCTTGTCCTTGACGAGAGCATCGACGATCTTGCGGAGGGCATCGGGGGTATGCTCAAGACGAGCACGCTTGGTGCACAGCTTAGCCCACAAGAAGGAACCGCGAGAGGCCTCGCTAATCTGGTCAATGATGGTCTCCTGCTCCATCTCATCCATTGACAAGAAGACGTTGGCGCCAGGCGACTTGGCGCCGGTGAAGTTGCCTCGGACAACAGTGGAAATGTCATCAGCAATGCGGTCACCACCAATAGGGACATGTAACAGACTGGCAGAAGTCTTAGGCTTCTCGGCACCAAGGGTGATAAGCTTGACGTTAGTTCCGTTGGAGGTGGCGGCAACCAGTTTCCGGAGCAAAGGTGCCTCGCCGCAGGAAGCTTCATCAACACCGTCGATGACGATAACAAGATCTTTAGCGCGGGCAAGAGCTGCGCTCAAAGCATTCTCCAGAGCATTCCAGAGAATGTTCTCGTATTCCTCCTCGTTGGTTGTCTTTTTGCTTGCATCGTAGGCCTCGTGGAGAATCTGCAGCAGCTGGATATTACCAATACGCTTGTCGAAGAGCTGCAAGAGGATTGTCTTCACAATTGCAATGGGGGTGGTCTCGGCTGGGATTTTGGAACTGATCGGAATAAACAATGACTTGTATGTAACACCGCCAATGTGGTCCTGCAGACGGTCGACAATAACGGAGGCGAGGACAGTCTTCCCGGACCCAAGGGCACCAGTAAAGGAGAGAACGTGATTGTTGCTCTTGAGGAAGTGGGTCAAGTATGAGTTCATCCAGAGACAGGTCATCTCCTCGCGTTCGTGGGCAAGGTGGGAGGTGTTCTCGGCGAGGCGGCTGAGGACGCGGTCCTCGGGAGACAGCCAACTTCGGACGGACTTAACAACGGCCACTAAACATAATCAAACATAATCAGTATCATTCGAATGTTTCCAATTCTCATAGAATGCATGATTTTCTTACCGTTCTCGGGGTCCTTGTTCTCCTGCGCGAGTTGATGTCTCCACATGGAGTCTGAAATCTTCGCGCAGCGTCCACGGAAAGACTCGATCTGACTAGTGAAGGTCTCATAGATGTTGATTGAGATCGAGCCCTCAGACAGCGCATAGATAGACTGGTGGAAGTGAGTGGAAACGGCGGCGACCAAAGAAACAAGGTCGGCCAAGGCCTCAACCAGCTGGTTCTTGATCGTCTGAGAGACAGCGAAGAGCTCAGTGCGCTCAAGCAGGTCCACCAGACTGGACGAAGTGCCGTAAAAGAACCCGAAGGAGGCCATCAGAGCTGGCGCATTCTCTTTGCCAAGCTATGATGGAATCAGCATTGAAGAATCATGAGAATTGAAAGGAATAGATTCTGTACATACCTGGAGGAGCATTGCACAGTATCCATAAGAGAGCTGAGCAGCGAGCCAGCTACTTCCCTCAAAGTCGCGAATAGCCAGGTCAAAGGAGTGTAGACGCTCAACAAAGAGCTGGGCCCAAGCGAGCACCTTATCATAGCTGCTTCCTTCGGGGGGAGGTGGCTCATGCGCTCGGTTGCAATCCATTCCAATATGGTAGTGTGGTCGGTATTGCATAACATGGAGGACACGTTTGCGCCCAACTCAGCGCCACTCTGACGCTGAAGGCCTTGGACCACACCAGAGAGCTTTGAGCTGCCGGCGGAGTGGAACTTCCGAGACATGGAGGGCTCACCGCGGGCCGTACCGGAGCGGGACAAGCCACCATTGGAATGGGTGTCATTATCCACCGTATTGGACATAGTAGAAACCTGTCTAGATCTACCGGGCAGGTTGCCGTAAAAAAAGGATGTGAGATTGCCCGGAACGGGACTCAAGATACCAGGGGCCATTATGCTTGCTATAGACCCAGTTGAGCTTAGAAATAATCTTTTCTCGATACTTATACCGGTAGAGACAGTGACGTTTTCAGTACACTCTTCGGTGATAGGTTTTGTCGTAAGAGTATGTCGGGCAGGAGGGTTGGAGTCTGATATGCCTTCTTTGGGGCAGCAGCTCTTCAAGCCACAAAATAATCGACACACACCGGCAATGTGGTCTAAGAAAGACAGCACAAGGAGTATGTACGCTGTCACCACAATAAACTCACGAGGATTAAAGTAGAAAATGAAAAGTCATGCAGGTTCGTGGAGCAAGCCATGCTTTTGTATTAATCCTCAAGGTAGGCACCAGCACCTGCATTCGATTCCACTTTTCTACTGATTAAAGGCTGGGAGGAAGGATTTGCATAGCGCTGACATCAGTCCTGCTATACCAAGATTGACTGAAAATGGGGATGTCCCAATACGCTATAGTGTAGGAAGTGGACACATGTTGTATTCAGCAAGGAACGTAAGGACCAGTATAATTTCTCGAAAACGGAATTGCTGCCAGATTTGCTCCTTTTGGAACAATCGAAAGTTCAACCTCGCATAGAACGGGTCGCACCACTATGGTGGTAATGCATAATGATCCAATAATGTTATCCCGTGTTCCCAATTCAGCCAATGCGAGTGTGATCCTATACCCCAGCTGAGTGAATGATCATTATAGGACCTGCAGGATTATGGGGATGGCTGAAATGTGCTCTCTCCTCTTGCATAGCAGACCCAGTTTTTCTTCAGCAGCCACGGGATATACCAAATCCACTCCTGGTAGAAAAGCTATCCATCTGTATATCTGTATACAATATATGTTGTATGTTGTATATGAGAATTAAAAATTTGGAGGCACCGCTAGAGTCAATAATAAGCTAGTGTCAATAATAATAGCTTCCTCCAGTTGTAGGATTGGTGTCACCATACAAAATGGATCGTCCAAGATGTACGATGATGTATCACATTTGCTCCGTGCACCGGATGTGGCGGGCTGATATAACCATATAATATCCCGCCGTCACAGAATGGGTGGACCTACGGAGTAGCCCTGGAGATGGGGGTGCAATGGAGTAATCCACAGTTTAGAAGGTGGTCGTGCGATTCGGACGAACCGTCGATCGATCTCGGTATCTGAACCCAAGACGTCTTGTCGACCAGTCCCGTCCATTTCTCGCACGGGGTTGTTTGCCAAGTTTCGGTCTGTGCGTGCCGATCATCATAAACTCATGCATAATTATTGAAAGAGCTCCACTTAGCTTCAGCTTCTCGCGGTTCAGCTCGGGATTTATACGTGTATACCATATTCTCGATCTGCCGGAGTAGTTCGCAATCCCTTTCTTTAGTACAAGCATTTCCCAATGGAATATCAATCATCCTTGAAATCCTAACCCTATACTTCTGTGATCTGGTTCAGCGGAAGAAAATGGCGTATCGACTCAGCTGCAATCGAATACCTTCCGGAGAAGTCCGTGGGCAAAGGGGGGAGAGAACAGAAAAAGGAATGGCCTGGAAGGGCTCCATGGCTATTTCCGGTAATTACTAACCATTTTATGTGCCCGGGTGCTCTTTACGGTAGTTCATTAATATAATAAGGAGTACGGAGTACGTACAACATACAACATATATGTGAATACAAAAAAAAAAAAAAAATTATAACCTCTGATCTCGAATTGGGGAGATTAACACTCCATTGAACTTCAATCCATGACCCATCTCGTACACACACCTTAGTTATAATTTAACTTCAAGTCTACCTGGACACCTGAGAATTTCCAAGATAATGTCATTCGAGCTGTCATGTCGATTTGCCTTGCAAGTGCGATCTGTATCCCCCCTCATTACTGGGCACCGAGCTAGCGGCTAGCGGTATCCACAATTCTGTTTGAACACTCCACAACTGCAACCCAACTTCTGCACGATCTCACCAATGGGAGAATTCACACAAAACATGGCTGAAACAAAGTCGAGCTGAAAATATAAACCTTGAGGTCATGTTACGTACAACAGCTGCATGAACCTTGCATTTGAAAGGACCCACATTACCCCCGTCGTACTCGGGGTAGACATCCAGGCCAAAAAAAAAAAAAAAAAAAGAAAAGACACCATATTGTGAGGTATAATACAACACTATGATGAAAATCTAAATGGTCCATTAAATACAATTATGACATTCCAAGCGTAACCCAACCCATTATCTCCCGGCCATTGTATCCACTCCGGATCCAACCCAAATGCCCTAAAATAATTTGTCAGATTCATATCCGTAAGATGGCAGATGCAATGATAAGAAATAGGGTAGACACTAGCACGACGCAGGTACGAAGCACGAGAGCCAATATGACGGGAACTATACATACCGTAACCATCTCAATCCTAGAATGTAATATGATTATAGCAATCCGATTACAATGTCACCGTAGATCTGGGCGTCCAGCTCGAGCTTGACCTTAGCGTGCAGGTTGAGGTGAATCTTGATCTGGAGGCTGCCTTTGTCATCCTCGCCTTCCTTCTTTCCAGTAACGGTCTCGCCGGGAATTGTCAGGCCGCCGGTGCTCGGCAGCGTGCCAGCGGCAGTATCGCTGATGGCGCCGGTGGTGTCGTCAGCTGGGTTGCCCTTGCGGTTACCCAGGCCGGTGGCGGAATCGGTGGGAGCGCTATTTGGTAGCGGGGGAAGGTCAGTCTCATTTGAGCTGTTTGGGGTAATGGTTTGGCTTGGTTTTGGGCCTGTGGGTGAGTTTTTGTCCGATTTGGCCTTTTGGGACTTGTTTTTCTTTGCCATTGTCGGTGATGAGGTGAAGGGGGCAATGGGAAGGAATTGGATGTTATGAGAGCCAAGGAATGATCATTTAGGACGGGGATGTGGTGTTGAAGGAGATGGTTTAGGTATACCTTAATGACATTGTTTTGTTTAAGAAAGGTTAGGGCTGAGAGGAGGTTATGAGGATTTGAGCAGAGAACGACAGATAGTTAGAATAGGAAATAAGTACTTGTAGGACTCATAGGCGAGAGGTAAAAAATTAGTTATATATGTGTTGTAGACTGCTCCGGTAGGGAGGGAATCCGAGGGATTGTCTATTCGACGGAACGATCTATTGGAGTTCCACCTAGCTGAGCCGTGACAGTGGAGCTAAATCCCTTGAAGATCTGCACATATCTTGGTGTCATCTCCGTGTTCATGCTCTGAAAACATTTGGAATATCTATTTTAGCTGCATAAAAGGTGACGTCGCTTATGGAGACAAAGTAGATCGAGCTATCCACATTGGGAAGCGCCGAAAAGCTCCGTACTTAGCCATTATACGCCCACAGGCCTTTCCACGCCTTGCACACACACGCACAAGACTTGAGATTTTCACGGGCTCCCTGCGTTGCACTAAATCTTCCACAATGGTTCTGGGGATAGTCATGATGACGGCCATGGTGCCGACCATTATGGGACTAAATGAGGCCTCCAAAGGCACGCGTGATCAAGAGAACAACCGGAAGAATACAGCACGCAAGCAGCGATGTCACCTAGTGGCTATGTGTGAAGTCAACAAGGGGACTCAGACCCAACGCGAACAGGTTCACAATGCCCGTGTATATGTGGGGCGAGACGGCAATGTAAGTATCATCAAGCAGCGGAAAGCCAAAAAGGGAAAAAAAAAAAAAACAGATAAAAATGAATTCTAACCATCTATCCTTTTATCTCAGCTTTATATCACCAAACAACCCAGCTCTACCATGTCTCTTTTTAATGGCGGCTTCTATACACACCCGGATTTTCCCCCTGACAACACCTCTGGCGTCGTAACCATCACTGGCGAACAACCACCCACTTTGCGCTGGGTGTTCCTGGATTCCAGCACGCATCAAATGCGATGGGGTGGGCGTCCCGACAGTGAGGGTCACATATGTGGACCCTATGACTGGACGAAAGACGAGCAGTGCATCACGCTTGAGGGGTGGGAGGGGTGGCTGGCAGTCCGGTTACCGGAAGATGGCACGAGGGACCAAGCGGAGGCGGACCTCGAGATCGGCGATGGTAAAGAGATTTGGCGTCTGTATTTCGATCAAAATGATGATGGGGCAGATCTGCCGCCCGGTTCCGAAGGTGTAGAAATTCGTCTCAAGCGAGTTACGTCGGAATCGTGAAGAATTCGTGTAAAATTGCATTCGCTTTTCTTTCTGTTTTCTTTTAGTTATGTATCGATCTAATTCTGTTGTAGTGGTGTCGTGCTAGACACCTGATTGATCAGGCCGTGGTGTTAGGCTGGCCACCCAGATAGGTAGCTCTTTCCGGATGTTTGTAGGAATCAACCTTCTTTCTCTCTCTCTCTCTCTCTGGTATCGAGTAGCTTCAACAAATTCACTTAACCCTCGATTGGGCGGTTGGCCTACAGATAGGAAAGGGAACCCCCGGTTGATAGATTGACAGGTAGTATATATTTGGTAACAGGTGATCAACACTTCAATACATTTGAGGCCCATCCCGCCATCTGGGATTGACGTGTGCTCCCTCGGGCCTAGCTCCTAAGTAATGCTCAGAAGTACCGTGCAAATTTGCGAGGACAATCAAAGGGATTCCAAAGTGGTATTTAAAAAGAAAAATATTAATTACACACTGATAGCCCCAGATGATAAAAGCTGTGAGTTTGGGCGGCTAATTGGCCTCTCTGCGTACCGGCTTCTCCGTCTCAACTGAACACCGTAGCTCTTAAAGAGTAATGGCATGGGGACCAATAATATTGACGCGCAACCTAGGATGGTCATCGTCCAATGGACACCGATTCCTTCGTACATAGGACGGGATGCCATGACCATACCACCTGCTACCAGGTATCGCAACATCGTAATGCTTGCCAATGCACTCGCAGAGCGGTTCCCGTAGCTATCAATGATATATTCGTAGCAACTAATATAAATGAAAATTAAAACCATACCAAAAAGTCCGCAAGCAGAAAGGCCGGACCACATCGACACGGTAGTATAATTCGACCATCCCAGCCAAAATAGCGAAACTGGGAGGAAAGGGCTAGCAATGATCGCCGGCCAAAGTCGGAACTCGGGAGGCACCATGGCGCCACGCTGGTATTTGGTCTTCTGGCGGGCGCATATGTAAAGACAAGGCGTAGCAAATGCGGCGATTGTGGCACCTACTGCGATGGCCGCGAAACATGATCCTGTTTGTCCTGTAGACATGCCATACGTTTGTGTGAAGATGTAGTCAAATCCGGATAAAAAGGTAAACAAAATGGAGTACAAGAGGATCAGATAGCAGCCAAGCACAGCAATCACCGGCTCTGTTGCGAAAAATATCGCAGGGAGCGGGAGGATATCTTTCACCCGTCCAAAGAAAGAGGAGCTTGCAGAATGCTCGGATGCGTAACGTGTATCTCCAGTGCAGTGTCGCAGTTGCCTCGATTTCCAGTCCAGTAAGACCGGCAAATATGTTTCAGGGAGAAGGAGAAGTGCTATAACCCATGCTACGGCTGATATGATGAGAGAAATAAACTCTGTCCATCTCCAGCCTAGGCTTGAGTTAGAAACAATCCACCCGCCTATTATCGGGCCAAATGTCGGGCCTAAAACCCAGCTATGTCAGTATTTTATGGGGTGGTCAATTCTGCCTACTTACCAACAATATTAGCCCAAGCAATGACAGGAAAAACAAATGTGCGTTTGACTGGTCGGAATTGATCGCGGACACTAGATCCGTTTATTGATAGTGTCGCGCTAGAAAAAAAACCAACGAAATATCGACATATAATCTGACCGGAAAATGTGGGAGTAAGCCCGGAGCCGAGAAGGAAGAGAAGATAAATGAAGGTTGACACCAGGTACGTTGGGTTTCTTCCGATAGATTCAGATACCGGTCCTGCAAATAGCGATCCTGAACCAATGCCAAATAAGTACATTGCCGTTGAAAGGTTCTGAGCGACTTGAGATACGCCGAACTCTCGGCTCGCCTGCTTGTTGGCTGAAGAATCCGCAGAGCCGGCCCATGCTTGGGTAAATATCAAAAGTGATAAGATTGCAATGTTTTTGGATCTCGATGACAATGACCAATTTTGCGGATTTATAGGATCGCCATCGCCCGTTGCTCTCACCCAGATGCGGTCATTGTCGGCATCTGCGATAGACCCTTAGCTTTTCCTCTTTCCCCTAACTTCGGATACCACTCACCTAGCTGTGTAAATCCAAGGTCGCCTCTGGGGTTATACAGCGCGATAACTTGACCTTCTCTGTTTTCGTGAGCGACAATCCTTCTAATCTGCCGGTTTTGGATAAGCGCCCACATATAGGAGGGGACAGTTAAGTAAAGTTGAAGTTAGAATGAGTGAGTACACTCGTGGACTCCAAGGCCCAGGTGCTTAGTAACGAAGACTAGCCACGGGCACGATCCATGGATCGTCCCTTACGGATTAACATATCATTAGATTCTCCACACCACGGAACTTGGTGTCTCTTGGTGTCTAGCTATGGGGTGAAATACGGGGTAATATGGGGCCGGGACCTGAGGTCGGGATGGAGCCTTGATTATATAACATCAGGATTAATAAATCCTCCGGTATGCCGGTTCGACCCCTGGCCGGGATACCAATTTGGATTGGTTCGTGCGGAAAGATGCATAGTATCAACTTCGATGGACATTGATTGTGCACGGGAGTGAACTGACTCCGTTCGGAGATGGCGGAGCGGAGGTTAAGATAGGAAAACAACATTTACCATTGGGGTAAATATTCAGGACGAAGTATCTCTCCTGTGCGCTTATCTTCGGAGAGTAGAAAAGCACTAAGGTTCCAATGAGCGGCGTTTAGATACAGTACCATTATAACCACCTAAAAGCGTATTGCTGATGATAAGAACCACAGTAGCTCCGACCCCCCGCAGTGGCGAGAATGGACGTAACCTACTTTTCGAGATCTCGGTGTGGCTTTTCTAGCAGACGTCGACAGCTAATAACTCATGAGGGGAGCCGCAGGTCAGTGCACAAAATGTAACACCTACCGAAAGACTACGCATAGTATTTGAGTCGCGAATGAGATTTTGCAACGAGGGGATCAAGTTTGAGCTCAGATCCACAAGGGGTGTCTAAGCACGAGTAGGCATGGTGAAGGGCTTGTTGAATCTTGATAATCGACCCGATGGCTTTTCTTCTCCAACCGATACGGAACCTGGTAATCGTTATTATCTATCCATACTGTAACACAATCTTCTCTTAAATTTAACTTCACAGGGGATATTATGAATACGAGACGCAATAATTTATGACCCCACTGATGACTTGGAGTTGGGGAAGAGTAGAATGATGAATCTATTATCAATACTGAGTGGTCCGGCCATTGGATATTAAAAGCATCGATCTCTATTCACTGTTAAGGTTGGGAATTCATTTGCTTCTATCACCAGAAAATCTAAAATGTATTTCATCAAAGCCCTCATGCTCGTTGCCTTTGCTCGCGCAAATGCAGCCGCAGCTTCAGGACCTGCGTCTACAACATCGTTGCCCAGCACCTCTGCATCAGCCAAGCCCACTACAATACCATATGTCGATTACACCAGGATTGGTACCTTCAACCTAACTAGCTTGGACTCTACAAACCCTGCCAACAGCGCCATCCGTACGCGCCATGAAGAGGAGCTCCTGGTCGCAAATAGGACTATCCAACTCCGTCACGGGTCGAAGTTACGTCAACTCCACCAGGGGAAGCTGATTGAGGTCTCAGCAGATGTAAATGGCAGCCTCGAGAGTATCGACTCCTTCATGGCGAAGTTCGGAATGGCTGGCTTGATCGTCGTACAGCATGGAACTATTCGAGTTGAGAAGTACCTATATGGCAATTCGCCTGCTTCGAAAAATGTCATCCAGTCCTGCACCAAGTCTTTCACTTCTACGGCGCTAGCCGTAGCTATGGCTGCAGGGAAAATCTCGACCAATGATTTGGCGTCAAAATACGTGCCTGAACTCGTCGGCAGTCCCTACGAAAATGTCTCGCTCCTCCAAATTTCTGACATGGTTTCTGGAGTCACTGTGCCAGACGACGTTCCCGACTATTTTGACATCTACCTGGAAAGCGACCCGGAAGCCGTTTTTAGGCTATTCAAGCAATACAAGACTGCTGCCCCCCCTGGCCAAGTTTACAACTACCTCGATCAAAACTACTATGTCATTGCCGTTGCTGTTTCGAGGGCCGTCGGAGAGCCAATTGAGTCGTACATCCAAAGAAACATCTGGGAGCCCGCTGGTATGCAATATGACGGCTTTATGCGAGCCACGGCAGCTGGACAGGTCGATGGCCATGGCGGGTTGGGAATCACGCTCGGAGACATGGCCCGCTTTGCCCTGTATATCCTCGATAACATCAATGGCAAGGGTGGGCCAAAGGTCCCGGCTGGATGGTTCCATAATATAGCCAAGGGCAGCACGAGTACAGGTATCCGTGCACCGGGTGCTATTGATATCATTCCCAGCTTCGGATACCAGACCGGATGGTGGACTTTGCCACGTGGGGGCGATAAGTATCAACTGGGCGACGACTTCGCATTCGCTGCTCTAGGCACGTACGACCAGGCTATCTATGTTATCCCCGGCTTGAATGCGACTATTGCCATGCAATCATCCTTCCCTGTCAGCTACCCCGAGCTGTTCTACCACGGGCAAGAGTTTGCAACTGCCGTTGCGCTTGCCTTGAAGACGTGTTGAGCAGGGCCCCTAATCGGATACGGCAGTGGTTTGTGGCTGCTATAATCGCTCAAGATGATTAAAAAAGCCTATTATAAATCTTGAATATATAGGAGGTAGTAATATTTTATTATTTAACATATTATCTATCGTTAACCTAAATACCACTCAAGAGCCTATAGTTGTAGTTGTATATTATAAAACGGTTTAACAATACCAGGTGTATTGGGCACTTGGCACCCCTAAATAGTCACGTGTTGAGAGTGCTTCTCTCATAGTCCTCCCGGGAGTGGGAATGGGCTCCTCGATTTTTCTAAATGAATGCCCATCCAAGACCAATTTCCACGCCCTGGATTTGATTATGGCGCGGGGAAGGCCCAAAGTTTCCGTGTCACCATGCAGGTTCTGTAATATGCAATTTAAAAGAGTGGAGCATCTACAGCGACATGAACCCATCCGTGAGTTTTTTCTTGTCTCCTTTTTGTCCTGACTTGTTCCTTACATGGCCCAGATACGCAGGAGAAGCCATTTTCTTGTGAATGTGGACAGAAATTCTCTAGACGGTCGGTACTCAATGTTAGAATCGAGGTACTCCAATGGCGTTATCTTACGATGAAACAGGGATCTTCTCATGCGCCACCGTAGGCTTAGCCATCATGAGTCACCTACTGAGATGACGGCCATGAATATCAGCCAAGATGAAACCATCGCAGAGGAAAGGTTGGTCATCTAGAAGTCAGGCGAAAGCCGCGCTAATCAAGAAAACTGCAGTATGCCAGTCGAAATTGTCGACCAGAATGCATCTCCCTCGTCGTTACTTGTCCCAGACACTAGACCTGAGGAGCACTGCTCGGCTCTCTCAAGAGCTCCTGTGTCTGATGTAACCTTCGATCATGCACATTTTTCTCAGCCCATGCCTCTTGATCCAACAACTAGCCTTGGTCCCGACTCTACGTATGAGTTTGAGCTCCTTTGGAACAACAGCAGCGACATGACTGATTTTTTACCCGCAACGTTCTTTGACACAGATTACTCCTTGTCTGAAATCTGGCAAACTGATAATATCAGACTCAACGGCTCTGGCCCTGGCTCTACGGTGCCCGTCTCTCAATTTGAACAAGGCGGAAGAGACCTACCCCCCAATAACGAAACTAACCCCGTGCCCTTCGTGCCATTTTCATCTCGGCTGCCATCTTTGGAGCCGGACTCTCTGTCATCACGTAATGAGAGGCTACCTCAAAATGAGTTGGAGTCTACTGCAGGTCTTGACTCTGTGGATACTCAGACTGGCTTGCCGTGGAACATTTGTTTGTCTAAATATGATCGAATATCAGCAGCTATTCGATCGTATGATCAAGTGTTGTCCGAGGGATTTTTCGTCTCATCTAGACATACTGTTTCCCGATATATTGAGGGATATTTTAAGGGATTTCATGAACATTTCCCGTTCCTGCATCCTTCAACGCTAAAAATCGAGACATTAGCACCAGAGCTAATCCTTGCAATGATGGCAATGGGCGCATTTTGTCGGTTGGAGAAGAGGAAGGGATATGAGCTATATTTGGCATCAAGGGCCATCATTATGCATCAGCTTGAACAGCGTACTCGGCTATCACTCGCGGGTATTGCAAAAGGTTCATCAAACGGCTCGAGCAGTAGAATTTCTGGATATACGCCCAACAATATTGACGACCGAGAGAGTTATGCCTCCACGTTGTCCCATCCACAGGTCTCTATTCCTCCGCCTCAGGTACAATTATTACAATCGCTCATCATTTTGATTGCAATGGCGACATGGGCAGACATTCCCGCGGCGCAAGATGCCCTAGGAATGGGAAGCCAGCTAGCGATGCTTACCCGGGCAGCTGGCTTGCAAGTGCAAGATGAAATCGTTGGAAAATGTGCTTGGTTACAATGGATACGTCGGGAAGAACGTCGACGAACTTTGTTCGTGGCGTATATTGTCCTCAACCTGACTAGTATCGCTTTTGATGTATCTCCGTTGATCATGAATCATGAAATTCGACTGTCGCTACCTCACTGTAATGTGGAATGGGTGAACACATCTGCAGCTGAATGGCAGCACACGAGGGAAGTGTACGGCCACACCGAGTGCCAGTTTCAGTCGACTCTCGCGGAGATGATTGCCGGACGTAACGTTCATAAGGAGGAGCCCCTTTCTGCCCTTGGAAATTATGCTCTGATAAATGCCTTGATTCAAAACATATATTTTGAACGACAGACCGCAGCCAGCCATACGATCCGTCTTGATACCGTCAAAAAATATGAATCTGCTCTTCAGGCTTGGCAAAGATCTTGGGAGGCGACACAAGAGACTTCACTAGACCCGTCCTCTCCAAATGGGCCTCTCGGATTCAACTCAGCAGCCTTGCTCAGACTCGCGTATCTCCGTCTCAATGCCAACCTTGGTCCCCGTCGTAACCTATTGTCACAGGATCCGAAATCTACCGCTCTACTTTTCACAGACGATTCAATTCCACTATTCACACGCTCCTTGCACGTTGATCGGGCTGTTCTTCAATGCATTCACGCCCTAAGTATTCCAATCCGGATTGGCATTGCATTTGTCGCTTGCACACAATCAGTGAATGGGAGCATTCAACACCCCCTCTGTACACTGGAATGTGCACTTTTACTCAGTCGGTGGCTAAATATGGTTTCGGATGCGGTACAGGCGTGGGGGTTAGATTCTCTACGGGAAGACGAGAGAAAGCTGCTCGGAATGATTGCCAGTCTCATCAGAGAAACGGATATGGCGTATACGCTGGAAGGGAAGGAGACGGATAGTTATTGTATCCGTCGGATGGCAGCAACGGTAGTGAGGCTATGGGCTGAGACATTCAAAGGTGTCCACATATTCGAAATTGTTCGTGTTATTGGCGAGACACTATCAATCGTGGCAGATCTCCTTGAGAAAAGACTTGAATAAACCAATAAATAGACCTACGTGAGATATTTGTATCTTGTACTATTCGCAATACTTGTAGATCTGCGCTTGTGTATTCCAAGGTAACAAGTGTGTCTTTTTTTCGCAAGCTAGGAGTCATATAATTCATTACGTGTGACTCGGTATGCAAATCAAGCCCGAAAATATTGATAGATAACATTCCTAGCTGCTTTCTTAACAACTTACAAAGAGAAGTGCTTGGTATATCTTTTCAATATTGCATCATTTACATGATTGCCAAGAGGCGAGATTTTAATGGTTGCTATAGTAGCCATCTGTAAGGCCATGTTTGTTACTATCAAGGTGTAGTAACTAGCTAGATATTTATATTCTGCTTGTACAACCTTGTAAGCGATCCTAGCTTCAGTCACCACCGGGCAAGACATAGATATTGACCAGCTGTGACCACCTCATTCTATTGGTACTTGTGAAAAACCTTCGCAATAACCTGCCACTTGCCGTCGACCTTAATAAAAGTGAGGAAGTCGGTGTAGTCGGCACCCGAGGCATCTCCTTCCATATCGATGCGCACCACGGCTGTAGTTTGGGTGATGGCGAGAACATCGTTGCGGGTCTTAATGGCAGGGGCGCTACCACTGTCGCGGATGAATGTGTAAAGGTTATCGATGGGACCAGCAAGCATGTCAGGCTTGGGAGGGCTGATGAAGCCGTACATGGTGGCGTTCTTGTGGAATGCCTGGGCAGTGATTTCGGGGCTACCTGCGCGCACACCCTCTGTGTACTTATTGGCAGCCGCAATCACGGCTTCGTACTCGGCGGTAGGAACGGTCTTGAGGTTGGCAGTCATATTCTAGATCTATGTGTTAGAAAAGTATTGATAGTCGGGGAGAGAGGTAACGAACGGATGATTAGATTGAAATCGGATTTGAAGTAGAGTTAAGAGACGTAGTTGGATAATGTACTGTGAATCGAGAATTAGTAGGTCATTAAATGTGTTTGGATTTGTTAACTAGCTAGGAATCTAGATACGTGATTATCTTCTCCAAATATCAACAGCTCGTTGGAGATCAGTCCCTCATCTAGTATGTCCACTTAAGAATACTAGTTATGTATAATCCTCGGAATGGACCGCCATATTCACTCCAACGAAACTATCTCCACATTCTCTCCAACTACGCGAAAATTATGACATCCGCTTTCGCACTCCAAGCCATGATAATATTGTCTAAGATTCTTTCTTATCCAAATTCAAGAAAGACTCTCCCCGCGACTACTGTTCTCAAATAGTCAATGGATTAGTAAGTGTTAAATATGCGAATGCGAGCGTTAGTTAGTACTACCGTGACGCCAAGGTATGCTTGGGTACTCTGACATCGAGCTTTCTTTTCTACCTTGATGTTTCATGTCCAGTGCTTCTTAAATACCTGGGGTTCATGATACAGTTGGAAGTCAATAGCGATCGTATGTGCATCTGTCCCACTTGTGGGTTGATAGACTATCCTGTTTACTAAGTCCATAATTTTCTTTGGCAAGATATAGTACGTAGCATTGGAACTTATAGGGGGTATTGATGATTAAGAAAACCAATCGAACATTTTTCCTTTTGATATGATATTTGGAATGCAGATTTCTAACGGCAATGACTAGGCGAGGCGCCTGTGACCTGAAGTGTAGGACTGCGGTCAAATGCATCAATGATCGGCACATTATAATTTAACGACCAGACGTCCGGCGAACGAATGGGCAGCTGCTCTGTCAGGTATGTCCTCAGCCTCCTCTAGCGGCAGGACGGTAAGATGGCTAACAACCCCATTGGCAGAAACAGCTTTCATCATCACTTTGACTTCCTCAACGGGGCAATGTAGCGACCCCTTGATGATAATTTCTCGGAACACGAGATTAAAAGCATCAAACTTGAAGCCAGATTCTGGCAACCCGAGAGCAATACAGACTCCCCTAGGCTGAAGGCGATGCAATGCCCAGTCACTTGCTGGTACATCATCAGTGCAGACCACAGCACCGTTCAGCCCAATGCCGTCCGTAAACTCGGATATTTTTTGTATAGCATCTTTACTGTTGTAGTCGATGACCTGGTCCGGTCTGAGATGAGCAGGAACTTCTGATGCAAGCTTCAGACCAATATCACGATTGTCAATGGCCACAACCCGCAAGCCCTGTGATTTGGCAAACTGCACAGCTAGAACACCCAGGCCGCCGATTCCAACAATTGCGATTGACTGTCCCTTCTGTAGCCCAGTTTCCTTCACTGCATTCCATGCGGTGGCCTGTGCAATCTCTTTTAGTTCACGTCTTCGCACCGCTGTATTGTAGAAGGGACACACATACACCAGCGCACATCAATGGTGCGGCTTGCTCAAATGTCAGTTTATCCGGCAAGTGGACGAGCGCATCATGTGAAGCAATCATGTGCTCAGCAAAGCCACCGTCCGCTCTCAGAATACCACTCATGGTCTTGTTTTCGCAATACCGGGCATCCAAGGAGCTGTACGTTTTCATTCGCCATCGGCATCCGTTGCATTCGTTGCATGGATTTCTAAAGTTGAGCACACCAACGCGATCGTTCACCTTCTAATTGCCCGGTACGTCAGAGCCAAGCTTAACGATAGTGCCTGCAGGTTCGTGGGAGCCGGTGAACGGCAGCTGAGTTCCATATGCGCCTTGGTAGACTTGGTAATCGGTATGGCAGAATCCAGCTGCAGCCACGCGGATGAGGAGCTCTCCTGGACCAGGAATCGGGACAGGGACATCACTGCGAAGTTGGTAGTTCTCGTTGTACTTGGTGATGATCAGCTGGAGTTCTGATTGGTAGACTTGTCTACGCGACTGAGTGCACTAGGGGTGACAACATACCTCCACGAGCCTCAACGCCTTCATGGTCGTTGGTATCTGCTCCTGGGTCATGGTTTCTGTGTGATTTCTGTAAATCTGAGCGAATTGGTAAAAGAACTTAACGGCCTACAAGAACCTTCCTGACCTACATCACTCCGAGGGGTCCACGTCGGTTGAGTGGATCCTATGCTCCACTCCACTCCCGCATTTGGGGTTAGAATTCTCCATGGAGGGGTTTATAGTATACTCGAGTGTGTTTAGGACGCTCAGTCCGATAATGAGTTGGAGTTTTGTCGATGTATCTATCCTAGGCTACTGGAGAAAGAACGGAGAAGACGCTCGCATGGGGTCGGAAATGCGGAGCAACAATTCTCATAACGCATCATGACGTTAGTAGCTATATAATTTTGCTTTGATTATACTGTCAAGTGATGGGCATCCAATAAAATACTATATCTCTTACCTACTAGTACGTAGTCCATATCCTCACAGATCAACGTCGCTCAAGAAGAGGAGACATGTCCCCCATCCGGCTTGGCATTGTAGGCTTATCCGCCGATGATACCGGAGGTGTTTTGTAATTTATATTATATAATCAAGGGAGCTGGAAGAATTCAAATACTTTAATTACTTAAGTGCTATATTATGGTACTTCAGGTATCTTTATTTTCTGCCAGCTTTAATGTAGATAACATCCAAAACTTTCAGACACCAATACCGTTACAAACAGATTCATGGATGATATAATCGATTATATAAGATATCCATGGATAGTTTGGCCGATCTCCATAAACGCTAAACTGAGATCGGATGTTTCCGCTTACCAATCGTATTGGGGTAGAAAGTCACCGGGACGTCAAGGGGCGTTTTGGGCGAATTTCTTCTCCAGGCCCAAATAAAAGGTTTGGGGAGATTGTTAAACGTTCTTAACACTGAAATATGCAAGGCACAGACAGAAGATTGTCTCCTCTCTTTCTACAGTGTACATTATTATCAACACCTTACTTCTTTTTCCATCAAGTTCCGTCAATTGGCTGCTGGTGTTGTAGTTGTAGGTAGATAATGAAAATGTTCCCTTAGAATAATATAGCAATCAACCGCCCAAAGAGAGTTTTCGGTCGACTAGAAGACATATTGGTCACCATATACTCAGCTTCTTCTTGATCAATCCTATCCTTTCCACTGTATAGATCACAAGACTTGGGGTGCACGACGCGAGTCTTCCGAATAACCTTGTGGCCAAAATAAAGACCCAGATATATAGGAATTCCGAGATAGCCGGTAATGAAGCTCTTGTAATCAAAGTTCCCGTAGCTTTGATTATTAGGTATGAAAGCCGAAAAGTTCTTTGTCAGTGCAACTATGACACAAAACGCGAGCGCGAAGTACGACCCTTGTATACCTAGGGGAGCAGTGTACGCCAGGGCTGAATCGAGCACCCCCTGGGCTCGCCGCGCTCGGACAAAGAATATGTGGCTGGCGAGGATAGAGATCCAAACCAGAAGACCGAACATAGTGACGAAACTGGCCAAGTAACTGAAAATCGTCTCACTTCCGCTGCTGACGTTCATGAAAGCGAGGAGAGTAAAGATTGAGGAGGCGCCCAATGCAAAGAAAGGAACTCCGCGAGCATTCGTACGGGCTAAAAAGCGAGGGGCCCTGTCCCTCGACTGCAAGGCTGTATATCGTTCGAGAGCAGATATACAGATCTGAGTTTGCGGCCGAGAGGATAAAAATCAATATACATCCATTGAAAATGGATGGGAGGATCCGAATGCCCGCTGAGCTGATGGCGACCACGAAAGGCGATGCTGATGCTGAGGTCTTCTTCTTGTTTGCAAATAGCAGGTCTGGTGAGTTGTATGGAACATTAAGTCCAACCAGGAAGACCGATAGGACGTAAAAGAAAATAATCCGCCAGAAGGTCAGTCGAATGGCACGGGGGATTGTCTTCCGAGGATTCACAGCCTCGCCGACGGTGATTCCGACCAGCTCGGTTCCAAGATAGGCGAAGGTAGCTGTGACCATACTGGCCCATACGGCAAGGAATTTCCCAAGATCGCCTTCCGCCATATAGGGCTTGAATGCACCGGGGTTCTTCCAGTACCTGAATCCCTTTCGATCGTGATCTGGGCCTCCTCCAAGGGCCAGCACAAGGCAAAGGATGATAATACCAATCATAACGACAACCTTAACGCTGGACAAGACAAACTCCAATGCCCCAAAAAACTCAATACCCAAGTAGTTACCGATGATGATTGCGACCATAAAAATTGCGATGAAAGCACCGGGATTAACTTGCTCTCGAGGCACCCAGTACTGAATGACAAGAGCAGCCGCGGTGAGTTGGTTTGGAGTGACAACAATATATTTAAGCCAGTAACTGTAGTTGCTATTGTTAGCAAAACCTTCATGAACAGAAGTCAAGGAATCATCAAAATACCTCCATCCAAGTGCAAATCCAAGCGAAGGGTCACAAAATCGAGTAGCATAACCAGTGAAACCACTTGCCATTGGAATCCAAGTTGCCATCTCCCCCAACGCACCCATCACCAAATAAACAACAAATCCTACAATAGCATAGGAGATCGTAATTGAGGCTGGTCCAGCTGTTGCAAGGCCTTGTCCAGTTCCAATAATCAAACCAGTTCCAATAGCTCCTCCCATGGCAATCATGGTAATCTGGCGTGCATGTAGCCCCTTGTGCAGCATTGTCCCCTCGTTCATCTGGCCAACGTCAAGATCAACCTTCTCCGATGGCACAGAGAAGTCCTGTAACCCCTGTTCTTCGAGGCCCTTAGAGCCATTCGCATGGGAGATGTTGTCCATGGTGTAGATTCAATTATTTTTTGGGAGTGAAATTGAAAAAGAGGTTAGAAATTGTTTCACTTTGGAACAAAAGATGGTTTTTATACTCTCCAAATGAGGGGTATACCTTGTATTCCTTCTAGCCAAGGTTCAGGATATTGTTTTCCCTTATGTTCTTTGATACGTTACTATCGTTTCTGATAACGTCGGGGAACGACCGATTCGTGAAATACAATGGGACAACGTTCCGAAATCGGTTACTTACTGAAATTACTAGGATTCATCAGCTTTTTTTTATTGGATAGCAGCCCTTTATCAGTATATTTTAGGTATTAGAATGGGTGCGGAAATGCTATAACACCCTTGATAGAGGTACTCGGAGCTAGTACCGAGGTGAAGGATCAACGGCGCAATATCCGAACATCTCGGGGTAATGACCCGAATGCTTTGATAAGCTTCAAGCAAACTATTTAGTTAGTGAAGATAAACCTAGTAATACTCGTACATCTAAATGTGTATGTATGAGTTGTATATGGCTACGATATAGGGCAAAGCCTACCTATTCCCCCTCTCTTCTCACGAGAACGTCCGGGCCCAGCGTGAATCGGAACGGAAAGAGGTTAGGAAAAGCAGCGACATTCCTACAATTGGTAACATATTGCCTGCCAAGTACACTAAATCGAGAAACAGCAAGAGGCTAAGGGCGCCTGCAGCAGCCAATAGGCTTATATAAACTTCCAAATTAGGGGGTTCAACTCTTCAACTACTCCAAAATATTATCCCACCATTTCCCGTCTAGCTATCATATTCAAAGTAACACTATGCCGTTATGGACTGGATTATCCCCGTGATTCTGCCTTAATTGAACTTATTATCGAGTCCTTATTGCTAAATTGAAAACTATACCAATCTGCGGCCATGATTTATTCGATGAACTTCTATCTATTTGAATCAGAGAAAAACGCCTGGATGCGAATGGCACCCTTTTATCCACGACTGGCACCTGGGTAGAATCCCAGTCGCTGGTTGACGAGATTCACCAGTGGCAGAAACAACTTGCGACCTGCCTTCGGTCCATCACTGTGTATCGGACTCAGATATGAGCGGATCTCTTCCCAAGTCACCCATTCCCACCGATCGCACTTCTCGGGTTCCAGCAACTATAAAGCATCAGTCAGATATGTTCCGATATAGGCAGAGGCACAATAATATTCTCTGATTACTGACCTGAGGCTCGAGAGTGTCCCCAGAAACGGTACATCCCATGAAAATAGTGATATAGTGTTTTCCATCATCGACCATCACGTCATTCGTTGTCGTAAGGAAATGAACGTCCGAGACCTTCAGGCCAGTCTCTTCAAGGACTTCTCGTGTCGCGCAGTCTTCAAACGATTCCCCGAATTCAAGATGACCTCCAGGGAAAGCCCAGGTACCTAAGAGAATGGTATGGTCAGATATCCCCATAACACAAAAGTCACACAAAGTACGGACAACCTACCGGCACCGTGGCTGTTCTTTCGCCTGCCGAGGACCACCTGGCCCTCCTTGTTAAAGACAAAAACACCGACTCCAACCCGGGGATTCATATTGAAATCTGAGAGGAGACGTGTGTCTGCCTCTGTTCGGGTCCGTTCAAGAGGAAAAGAAGCGGTCTGCAGGGCGAGAATGCTTTAATCACGAATAACGATTACGCCATGTGACTTCCAAGGGCCATGCTAGGGGCTTCTCGAATACTTACCGTACATACGTTATTCATGCCTGATGATTATCCAATGCCACAACGATACTGGAATTAACTTTTAATTGAGATGAGATGGAGTCGAAGCGTCTAATCTATTGGAAGTTTACTCTAATGATCCGGTTCTATATATTAGATCTAACTAAACATCTCTTATGAGCTCTCGGTCCCTTTTTCGGCTTGAAGTTTTGCTTTCCTTTCGTCGCGCCATGCAGTCCCAAATTGGTACTCAGCGAAGACAAGCGGGGAAGTCACCAAACAAATGAGACCAAGGATGGTAAATGCCCACCCGGTACCAACTGCTTGAATCATAGGCTCGATTGCCGCTGTCCCGGCTGTAGAGAGGAGACAACGCGCCAGATTCATACTGGCTGTTGCACCAAAAGACTTCTTCTCGAACAAGTCGACGATAAGGGTTGCTGTGATGGAATAATTAGCCTCATGCTTCATTTTGATGATAGACGTTAGAAGTTAGAAAAACCTACAGAATGCTGCAAGAATGCAGGTATCGAATCCGCCGACAAAGAATGACAGGGTAATAGGCGCTGCGATGTGAACATGGTATCGAACGGTCCAACCAAATGCAATGGTCGTAGCAATAAAGACGAGAATAGGAATGCGCACCGCGCGAATACGAGCATGCTCGATTCTCCTTACTTCTTTCGGAGGATTCTCAACGCCCTCGGACTCCCGGCGAAGCTGCTTCTGGTAGTCGAGATCAAGCATCCTTCCAACGAGTAAGCTACCGCACAAGGACCCGATCCCATTTGAGATGTACGTGAGACCGATATGAAGCTCGCTCAGTCCATAGTCACGAGCATAGATGGTGGATGCAGCGACAATGCTCATTTGCCAAACAGTGTAGCAGATCCCAGGATACAGGATACAACACAGAACATCGAGCTCTTTCATGATGAGGATCGGCCCCATGAAATCAATTTTAAATGAAGGTTTTTGTAGAGGATGATCCTTTTGCATACCAGGTGGCTCAAGAAAGGGAAAGAGGGGTCGAAGATAACGCGGAAGCAGAACGCTACCGTCCGCTACGTGAGAGCGATGGGTCTCAGGAATGAAAAACGCAATGATAAGAAGCATGGTGGCTGACAGTCCGAGTAGGAAAAGAAAGATGTTGTGCCAGTCGGTATACTCAGCCATGAGACCACCAATGACTGGTCCGAATGCTGTACCGAAACCAGCCAAGGCACTATATATGCCCATGAAACCGCCTCGTATGCTGACATGAATAAGGTCACTGATCATACCTGCGCCGAGTGCACTGGTTGAAGCAGAGCCGGTAGATTGAAGCGCACGCAGAATAAGCACAGCCGCGTAGTTGTTACTTAGCTTCAGACCGATGCATGAGCCCACGTAGAATGACAAAATGATCATGTATAATCGGCGCCGGCCCAGACTGTCGCCGACAGAAGCCCAAATGATTGGTGTAATTGCTTGGAAGAGTAAGTAGCTTGTAATCGTATAGTTGATGGCTGCAATGGATACATTTAAATCCCTGGAGATTTCGGGAATTGCAGGAACATAGACAGATGAGCTGAGGGGACTCAGGAGACCTGTGATGCTTGCAACGGCGAAAATGACGAGTCGTTGCGGGTAGGCAAATTTGCTATATGATGCTGCTGGATCGTCTTGTGGGGATGAAGCTGCGACGTCTTCTTTTTCCGAGGGCGGGCCTGTAGATTCTGTCGCAGTAGTGATCTTCTCATCCGCAGGAGGGTTTGATATCGACATGATCGTGATTTGACAAGTTCTGAACGATCCAAAAAAAAAAAAAAAAAGAAGAAGAAGAAGATCAAGGTCGATACTGTACCACAGAGTGGGCAGTAGCGATGGCGCAAGGTATGTTCTTTCAAAGGAAGGTGATGTTCAAGAGAAGAGTAGCTCACAGTTCCAACGAGGGTAGTTTCCCCTATGTAACGATCAGAGCTGAAGAACCGCTAGGTTTCTCAGGGAGAATGTTTTTCAACTACCTAAATAGGTAGCTATGCATGTATGCGCTAGGGCTATTTAGGTAGTGGGGTAGATCATTGTAGATCGCGGCTCGCCGATGGAAAGCAAAGTACGAGACTAAGATAAATGAGGCATCAGGACACACGAAGTAGAGCCCAAAGCAAGCTATAGCTTATACTGATTTTCCTCCGTGTCATTGAAAGCGATAGAGGATTGATGGGGTCAGCGCAATATCACATCAGCGCCAGACCTATGGCCTACTTTGGATGTGATAGTCTGTCTCATCCCTACATGTATGGATCATCCACACATGCATGGAGAAAAATGTACTCATTGTTCCATGCTTTCTAGGGTGATTTCCCACATGACTGAAAACCGCTGTTTTGTGTGGGGGATAGAGTTACATTGCTGTCCAACCCCAGCCACTGGGCCTCTTAGTGCCTACTATAAAGTCCTAAGCTTAGGATCAACTTCTATTCATCACGTATCAAAGAAACTTGCTTAACGGGACTTTATTCATTTCTTTTTGTAATCCCTGGTTCAAAAGTACAAAAATTAGTGATATTCATCATCAGTGAGATCACATACGTACCATGAAGTATAAAATGACATAGATCTACATACCACGGTCAGCAGTATGTGCATGATACACGCAAGTACACCCTTTTTCTGCGACATCACGAGATCCTTAGCCATCCATGGAGGTACTTTGGCGTCTGCGTAGTCGGTATTCGGTTTAGATGCGTAATCCCAGTGAGGGGATCTGAAAATAATATAAAACCAGAGCCTGCCTGCCTGCGCACCTTCATTCAATTCTTTAAAGAAGTTTCTCTCTCAATCACACCATGAAGCATATCTTTGATGTCATTATCGTCGGCATGGGCCCTGCTGGGCTTGCCGCCGCCGCCAAACTCGAGGACTCGGGTCTTTGCTTTGCTATTCTCGATTCTGGAAAGACGGCCTCCAAGCGAGATCGACACGATGCCACGGACGCCACGAGTGGTAATGGAGGTGCTGGACTCTTCTCTGACGGGAAGTTCTCGTTCTTCCCCTCTGCAACCGAGTTGTGGACACTGGAGGATCAGAATGCCTTGAAAGAGGCTTACACGTGGACCTGTAACAGGCTCGGTGCTGCGGGTCTTGATACACCTCCCTTTCCCGAGAGCCCGAAACAATACGCATATAAGGGTCCTGATGGCTTGAAGGACTTGGATTTCGTCTTGAAGGCGTACCCCTCTGATTATCTTTCCTTGGAGGCACGAATGAATCTTATCGATGACATGGTCGGCCGTATAAGAGGTCAGATCTTCAACGAATGCCACGTTGACGATGTGCAGTACGATGCAGTGGCAGACAACTTCACGCTCAAGGTTAGAGATGTCAGCAAGAACCACAACCGCGCTCTCTCTGATCTCTGTGCTCGTCGAATCATCGTCACAACCGGTCGTTTTGGGCCTCTAGGCAACGGCCTGATGGATCTTACTGAGCATTCAAACTTCCGCCGGCTGGAGGTTGGATTCCGTATTGAGCAATCGAGTGATCGGGCTTTCTTCCGGGATATGAAGCAGCTCGATCCTAAGTTGCGATTCCAAGAGATTGAAAAGGGCATGGAATGGCGTACATTCTGTGTTTGTCGCCAGGGAGAAACAGTGCTTACTGAGACGAAGGGTCTCTGGACTGTTTCCGGACGCTCAGACTGTCCACCTACCGGCCGATCGAATTCTGGCTTCAACACTTTGATCCTTGATGAGGATACCGCGAGGGACTTAACCCTGCCGGCTATTAAGGCTATGATGAAGCCTGGCTCTCACTTTGAGCTTCCCATGACAGGCCTTCTCCAAGAAGACGAGTGTGTTACCGGTAAATTCGACAAGATTTATGGTCGTGAGTTGCGTCTTGCCATGGCCAAGGGTTTGTCGCGTCTTGCTAAAAAGTTCCCTGATCTGGGTACGGACGAGAACGCGAAATTGATTGGGCCTACTTTGGAGGGTGTTGGATGGTATCCTAAGGTCTCTGGTCGTTTGAAGCTGCTTGATGCCCCTGCTTATGTTTCTGGGGATGCTTGTGGTTTGTTCCGTGGTATTGTGGCTGCAATGATTAGTGGACATTACTCTGCTGCTGCTCTGATGGAGGAGATGGTTTGATTTGAATGGGTACGGGTCTTTGTTTGGCCTTTTGTTTTCTCTTGGAGTGAGTCAAATTTAGTGGATTTTGCCCGCAGGCAGAAAGTCCACCATAAGTGTCTGACTGGTGTAAAAGGGGATCCATGATGAATGTGTTGTAGTATACCTAGGTAGCTCCGCCCAGGAGTCTTACTAATGTCGGCGGTGCCTGAGGATCAGCCGAGCGGTTAATGGCGGTTAATGGCGAAACATAATTGCATACATGGTTTTCTTTGAATACCGTACAAGGAAATATAGAGCTGTCAGAATTACTTAAGGCGTGCTCAGTTTTAGCTATAGTATAAGGCCGGACAGTCACATCGATATACATCAGCCCATACTTTAACTAGTCCATTATACTTGACCATACAATAATAACTTTGATCTAAAATTTTCTTTGATCAATGGGCAATATGTGACAAAAAAAAAGACAAGCCCGGAAGAACCCCAAATACCTAGGGTAGTGAATCTCGTGAAAAGTAAATGCAAACCATTCCACCAACCATGTCCGATGCAATAAGACAGCAAGAAAATAAAATAGAATAGAATAGAATAATTTGCCAATGAAGAGGCTCACGGTGCAGAAACACGATCACTTGAATCTTGCTTGGTTCGTTTGGAATCCCGATCGCTGCTGGGCACCGATGCGTCGGCCTTACGCTTGTCGCGGTCCTTTTGGTTTTGGTACTCCACGCGCCGAGCTTCCTTGCGAAGCGCCTTGGATTCAAACTCGTGCCAGTCTCCTTCAACGTGTTCCAATCTGTAGATAAAGGTTAGAAGAGATAGATATACAGAAGGGAGCGGGGGAAACGCACTCAATGGGCGGGTGAGGGGCTGGTTCTTCCGATACGAAGTATGGATGTTTGAGGACGTCCTCGGCGCTCGGCCGCTGTGAGGGATCATAGCGGAAGATCGAGGATATAAGATCCATCGCACCGGACGTCAGTACATCACTGTATACATCCTCAAAAACACGCTTCCTTCGTTCCGTTGGTCGCATCAGGTGGAACCAGGGCATCTCCACCAGATCCGGCCATTCAGTCTTGGTAGGAGTACCCAAAGCATTGTAGATCTTGTCCATCTGACTCAATTCACCACCTTCACCGGGGAAAACTGCCTTTTTGGTGAACATCTCCATGCAAACGCAGGCAGCGCTCCATACGTCGACCGCGGGGCCATATCGGGTTTCACCCAAAAGGAGTTCCGGAGGTCGATACCAGATGGTGATGACTCGGTTGGTGTAGTCAAGTTGACGACTTTTTGAGAAGAACCGGGCTAGGCCAAAGTCGGCAAACTTTAACAATCCACGATTGCTGATCAATATATTGGCTGCTTTGATGTCACGATGTAGAACCCCTCGATGGTGAAGGTAATTGAGACCTTCGAACATTTGCTTCGCCAGATCCTTCTTGTGAGAGAGAGTGAGAGAGAAAGTAGGATGATTGATCAGACCGGTCAGATCATGAGAGAGATATTCAAAGACCATGAAACATTCGTTCTTTTCAACCATGACTTCCAGGAGGCTGACGACATTATGGTTTCGAAGATGCTGAAGCAGCTTGATCTCTCGGACAGCTGTAACAGGGAAGCCATCCTTCTCGCCTTCCATTCGGATCTTCTTGAGTGCAACTTTACGCTGGGTATAGACGTGGATTCCCTTGAACACCTTTCCATATGTTCCAGCACCGATGACAGACTCATTGCCCGGCTTTCGGTAGTACACAGATTCAGCATTAGCAAACTCCTCGGGAAGCGTGGGGCGTAGTTTAGGTCGAGTAAGAATCCGCTTCTCCTTGGGCGGTGGCGGCTCTCTGGGCGGTCCCGGAGAAGGTTCCCGGCGGCGGTCTTGCCAGTCGAAGGGCCTATCTGAGGGCCGTTCTCCTTGTCGTCGATCACGACGTTGATCGAACCGACGGTCATCTCTGCGATCTCGTGGATCACGGAATTCTCGTGGCTCACGGAAATCTCTGCGGTCTCGATCCCGACCCCGTCCACCACGGTCCCGGTCCCGGCGATCACCCCTCGGATCTGGTTTGAATTTGGGCAATGGCCCATTGGTAAAGCGATTGCGGGGTTGTTGGGGTGGCTCTGGTGCACGAGGGGCCTGCTGCATCCTCTGGGCAAGGTCAGGTACCGGCTTTGGAGCTGGGGAAGGTGCAGCCTTTGACTTGAAAGCGAAGCTGAATTTCCCGCCCTTGTTTGCGGGCGTGGTTTCATTGGACTGGTGGGTCGGGGGTGGCATGGACTGGGCATTTCCGCCAGAGGGTTGGGGTTGTGTCTTGTTCTCCACTCCATCCCTACTGGAGGGCCGGGCGTAACTATTACTTTCGCCAGCTCGGGGGGATTGAGGGTCATTGTGTGAGGAGTGTGGTCGACTGGGAGTTTGTGATCCATGACTGTGTGCCGGGCGAGGGCTATGCTGTCCCCCACGGCCTCGTGGTCCCGATGCGGTCCATTGTAGGTTGTTGAAATGTCCCCTTGCGCCGCGCTGTGAAGGTCCATTGTGATATGAATGAGGACCAGAGCCGGAAAATCGCCGATCGGGACCCTGGTTTGAAAAGTTTCCTCGATGACCGCCACCAGAGTGGCCACCCCGTTGAGGAGGCCCGCCGTACGGAGACTGAGGGTGATGGTTGTTAGGGCCGTTAAATTGACCTTGGTTGTGATAGTAGTTCCCATTTTGCGATGAATAGTCATCATTTCGGTAAGGAGAGGCGTGGCTGAAAGAGAGTGTTAGTGTAATTCAGAATGTAATATGTAAAGTGAAAGCAATAGAAAACTCACCCAGTTCCAGAATAAGTAGGCGGGCCAGACCATCCTCCTCGTCCTGCAGAATAAGGCGATGGCGGTTGCGGCGAACCGTGGTATGAGCCTGTTGATGCTGTGTTTTGAGGGTTTGCATAGGGTCGTGTATCAAGATGTGGTCGGGACGACCGACGGCGAGGCTGATTATCAGAGCGCATGGCATGCGTTGGTAACTCATCCCGCACGGGATTAGAGTGTTCTTCGGGAGGACCAAAGTTATCAGAGTCAAAGCTCGGAATCGGGCGCGGTGGAGATGGAGACCGAGCAGTACTGTCCACAACAGACTGGATTGGTTGAGTTGTGTTCATAGCCGAATCACGTCTTGACCTGCGAGACGATACTGAGTATCTCGAGGTTGTAGACCGTACAGAGTGCCGTGAGTTCGACCGATAGTGGGATCCGTGGTCGCTATAGTTATCATCACCAGGGGTACGGGACCGTCGATCGGGCGAAGGATAAAACCCTCTTTCATGAACTGGTGATTTAGATCTTCCTGGACGTGGGATATCTGGACGGCGACGGTCCTTTCCACGACGGTCCCGACCTCGTCGTGGTGATCTTCGTCTCGGAGCACCACGACCTTGGTTGCGGCCTCCTCGTTTCTTGAATGAAGGGCTTCGATCCCGGATATCCCAGTTATCGGAGTAATTTGGACGCTGTGGAGGGAGAGGGCCACGGCCGCCACGCGGTGAGGGGCTTCGAGTCCTTTGCCGTTTCTGTGGAGGTCCGGTTGATAACTCATCTCTTCGCAGGCCGAGGGCTTCTCTGTCGAAAGGTCCGGGCTTGTGGGTGTTCCAGCCACCAGCTGATGACCCGGGTTGGGTTGAATCTAGTCGACGGCTGTTGTGGAAGTTTCGAGATGGAGGAGAACCTCGAGGAGGAGATCGATCCGGAGCGAAATCACCTAGGTCGTGAGAAGAGTCAGGGCCAAAGCGGGACGCGCGTGGTGGCGACCGCCCCGGGCGATCGAAATTGCGGTTATTGGGCCGATATGGACGGCCTCGGTCACGACCTCTGTTTCTTCCTCGATCGCGGCCTGACCCTCGGCCTCTCCGTCTCTCCCTGTCACGGGGATCACGGTCTGGGTCAGCGCTCCACTGGTCTCTCAAGACCGGACTCGTACGGGACGCAGCCATGTAAACGTCGCCAACGGCATCTGGTTCAATCAGGAGAAGTAGAGAATGTCAGCGAGGCCGGTCCTTGGAAGAGGCCTTGAACTAAAGATAATGATGAGAAAGCGCAGTGAGCGATGGCATCCAAGCGTGTCGGCGACCGCAGGCGGAAGTCTTTCGGGTTTGGGGGACCCGGAACGATGGTTCTTCCAGATTCCGAACTGTTCACACTATCAAGCGTTGGTGAACAACAAGAACATCAGCAAGGGGAAAGTTGAATGGGGCATACGCACCAATTCACATTTATCAAATACGGCATGTCACCCTTTCATGTAAAGAAAGAACACTACTTGGCCAGGGAAGATGGGCTTTCCCAAGGTTGGAGACCTCGGGGTTGCTGACTGATCCGCGTTGCGGCTCTACAACTTGATTCGACGCTTGGATGCTGGAAGGTTGGCGTGCAGCTGTCGAAGACAAGTGCAACCTGTACTTCTGCTTGGCTCCTCCGAATTTCTTTTTGAATACCGAATGTGTCGAGTCGGGGCCTGTTCAGCACATGACGAGCTGATCAGGTGGTGCCCAGGTGTGGGGGAAATGGACATGCTAGCTAGGCTTGCTAGCATTTTGTCCCCTTTGTGCCCGTCCTGCCCTGCCTTTTTGTACAGCAGTTGCCTGTTTTTGGCAAAGTCACATTGAGATTGTGTTGGCTTGTCCCACGAATGAAACTATCTACGTATTGCACAAGGCCAGATGGGCCAACATTCCCGAGGCACCATTGTGAACATGACAATCCCCGTTGGATTATCAGGTCACATCATAAAATCAATGGCTGGAGTCTCTTATCATTCTTTCCCCCAGGATCATGGAGCTGTTCGTCAATTCAGAGGACCGATTCGACATGCTGTGATTCTTTGTTGCAAACAACTTTGATGGTCTGTATCACATTCAGCCAGTCAGTTTTTCGATGTTTTGTAAGCTGTAGATTGGTCAGTAGTCGAGGTTCTGGTCATCCACCAGGGAGTGATGAAATGAAGCTTTGTCGTGATTTACAACAGACAGACTGATTGACTATCTGGGGGGACAAATACCGTCAGGGCAGAGATGAAACATGGGCGGAAATCCCAATTGTGACGTCGTTTTAAGTCGACATTTGCGAGTCCTGTGTCCTTATGGTTGTGCCCGACTAGGATGTGAATTCATGTTGATATCCAAGTGTCCAGGTCGGTTGACCAGACAAAAGGCTGGCGACAATGGTGGGAAGCATACCGAATGAGGGGTCAATGTACGAGTCGGTCAAGGCAAGAAGAGCCTAAAAACAATATTGGTTCCACCCCAGTCCAGTACAATCCAGTAGAATGAGCAAGTCCCTCCCAAAGGTGCGACTTGTCGCCTAGAGACTAGGCCCTGCACTCAGTCAACCCCACCTCCCATATTAAATAGCGAGATCAATTTCAGGACCAGAAATTGACAGTTTGTAATCTAACAGAAAGCAACATCTCATGATGTGGATGTGGTTGCAGAGAACTCAGGGCCGTGGCTGAAAGTCAGCCCGAGATTGAGCGGGATGTGCTGGAACTGGAACACAAACCCCCGGCCATTCTCACTCAACAAAAAAAAGGGACATTCCCCAGAAAATCCAGGCGGTTAGATTCAAAGAAAAATGTTATCGCAATACGATCAGAAGGGCATACGCCATGCTGAATCGGCGAGGAACTAAGAAAGCAAAGAGGTAGGTTGATGTCATGGGCAGGTCGAAGTTGTGCCGGAATCGGGCGTGGGGTCACATGTAGGTCACGTGGTGTCATAACTATTGTTTATGTACTTTCTTCATCTTTTCAACAGTTAACTAACTACAACATAGCTAGTTAACTAGTTGGAGATTTTTACTTGCAGATTATACTGGCAATAACCGTGGACCCCCAGGTCCCAGATATAACTGCTAGTTATACTTAAACACAGACTACATCAACTTATGTGCTAAGTCTTTGACACATTGTCACACGACTCACTCCATTTGTCGTCCGGTCTAAGCTCATGAAGCCAAGCATTACACCCGGAACACCTTTGATAAGGAAGCGTCAGCGACAGGCGTGCGTGCGTAGCTGTGACCTATAGCGGTGCATTTGCATTCATCAGGCGACGAATATATATTCTGTTACATAGGTGAGCAAGTCAGAGTCTGAGGCCCTATGTCTATCTATCAAACATAGGCACACAATTATGTTTCTACATGCTATATAGTGGTAGATTTAGGACATAAAGCAATTGGTACTTATACAAATTTATTCAATAATACTCTACAATATACTCCATCTTCTCTTCAAAGATTGACAACTTCACCACTTGCTCAACTGTTTCAAGATCGCCCGCAAATCACTTCATGCTTACGTAGTAAGCAATATTACCCTCTGCGAATACTCATACAGACGTCGATGTATTCTTAGATCAACCCTCCTTCAGAGGGTTGATCACCGGCAGCCTTAACCTCCCCAGAAAAGCGGCCGACACTGAGTGAATCATCTGCTCCATCGATAGCAAAACGATGGAGACGAGGCGCCGCGGGCTCGTCAGGGCCCTCGGGTTCCGACAAGGTACTCGCGTGATGCACAACCCCATTTCCATTGGGGACATGGAGAGGAGGAACATCACCGGTCTCAGTCCCTTCGTCCGACAAAGGAGAGACAGTTGAAGAATCTCGGTCCTGCGAATGGGCGGGAGACACCCCAACCCCATGGATTTCTTGAGAACTGATGGAATCAGTATCGGTACGGTTTTGTACAGCCAGGGGCAAGCTGGGTTGCGACTGCGACTGGGGGGCAACGACGGAAACTTGGCTGTTCTCGTTGGAGTTGGGCTCAGATGCGTTTGGTCTTTCTGGATGCGGATCTTGTACAGAAGCTGAGGTTGGATTAGCAGGTTCATGTAACCTAAGAGGTTGGAAGAAGGCCACCATACGCGGATCCGGGTTCTGACTTTCTGCAGCATCTTGACCTGGGTCTTCCGAACTTTGTTCTGATGCATAAGTTGGGTCCGAAACAACAGTCTGCTCTGTCAATGATGGAGCAGCCGATGGGGTTAGAGCAGCTGGCAGGCGTGAAGCAACCGGCGGGTTTGTGGCAGCCGGCGAATCCGGGCTAACCGACGAGTTTAGAGAACTAGCTGAGCTTGGATCAACCGGGAGCGTCTGAGGAGCCGGTGGGTTTGTGGCAGCCGACGAATTCGGGGTAACTGACGAGTTCAGAGAACTAGCTGAGCTTGGATCAACCGGGAGCGTCTGAGGAGCCGGTGGGTTTGTGACAGCCGACAAATCTGGGGCAACAGGTGGATTGGGAGCAGCCGACAAGTCTGGAGCAATCGAAGAGTTTAGAGTACTAGCGGAGCTTGGATCAGCCGTGAGGGCTGGAGGATCCGGTGGGGTTAGAGTACTCGCTGAGTCTGGAGCAGTCGCGATATTTGGACCAGTGGGTAGACCCGAAGCATCCTGTGCATTGGATGAAACAGGCGCAGTGGATGCGTCTGAATTTGGGCGCCGCGGCAGCCAAGGGAGGACGGGCAGAGGAAGCATGGTACCCTCGAAGGCGGCAGGTTCAATTCTTACGATATGTGCACCGCTGTCATTCAAGATCATGTAGGGAGGGGTTCGGTGCCGCCTTCCGAGTGGGACTGACATGGGCTCCAGGTCATCAGGGCGAATGCCGGCAATTAGTTGCTGCCGGATAAGCCATGCTTGCATAATGCGTTCTCGAGAATAAGGGGTGACACCCTCAGGGAATGGGGCAGGGCCGAATGAAAATCTGTCAGGATTTCCCCAGTCGGTATACCGGGGTGGCTCACGTGCTGGCATGGCAGTAGGTGGCATGGGGTTTGGAGCAGAAGAGGATTCGACCCGGCTTGCTGTAGGGTAGGGGGAAGGAGGCCGATGGTGATGAGAATGGTCCCTAGCGGCAGTATCCGTGGGATCCGGTGTTTCAAAATGAACATGCGGAATCGGCCCAGATGATTCGGCTGCAATGGGATCCTGGGTTCCATGTTGCTCACGCACGCCCATCGCGGATGGCCGTAACCCATGATCGGCACCGGCATTGTACGAGGGTTGGCTGAATTCGTTGGTGAATTGCGAACTTCCTTGATAGGAGTCATCAACCATCCCAGAATCTTCATCCTGGGACTCGTCGAGCATCTGAGAAGCTTCATACTGGGATTCATTAATCTGGTGTTGTTGTTGAGAATTGACCGTCCCAGAAGCTTGATTCTGGGACTCGTTGGTCCCAAAAACAGCTTGGTGCCAGGCTTCAATTTCCCTGCGCGCATTTACTCGAGTGGTCTCGTTGAGCCTTCGTAGTCTCTCAAGATAAACGAAGAAGTCGGGGTGCACAAGCTGTTCAGAAATGTCAGAAGTGTCAGTGTCGAAGTCAGCTGCCAGGTGTGCCTGGATAATGTCAAGGGTTGTCTGAGGGGGAAGCCATGAGGGCCCAGACCCAGCAGTATTGTTGGTAGTGGTGGGCTCGTTGGAAAAGTTGGGGGTATCGCCGTCGTCTGAAGAGGGACTAGAGAGACTCGGGGAGCGACAAAAGGCTGAACGTCGAGTGTGGTCCCCCATTGTGTTGAAATGTAATCTTGCTTCTTCAACTCCATGTCAGTAAGTTATATGATTGATTCAATCAGACACGTTTAGCATACCTGCAATGATCACCGTTGTCTGGGCAGGTACTTGACAAGTTTAAGTGCGGGACCCCTTTTGTTTTGCAAACAGATTAGTGTCACGTCTCAGGCATTAAACAAGTATGCGTAGATGGGATCAGAAGGGATATCATATCATGTTTTGTTTGGAAGAAAATCTGTGATATGCATAGGCGGCTGGTGATGTATATAGCACACATAAAGGAACTGGGATCAAATCGCACGAGACTTACAGAAATAGATAACACCGATGCCACTCTTCAGTGCCTGTGAGGTGGTGTGTGTGGTAAGAGACAACAAGAGGTAAGGAGGGACAGGGACGTGGGTGTGGTTGTGGATGTGGATGTGGATGTGGACGTGACTGGAAGATGCACAGGCACGTGAAATGCAGCAGAAGAAGCGCAAAGAAGCACAAGTAGAGGCAATCAGTAGATTGCAAGAAGTACTGGAAATGAATAGAGTAAGATTTTGAATGATTCGAATGAGAATTCGAGAGTTGGGTGGAGAGTTAGGTGGTAGAGGAGAGATGAGACAAGAATAAAGAGTTTGTTAGAGGACGGATTTAAAAGAGGGAAAACAATGTCAGGTTTGTGTACGTGTAGGAGGACATTGTCACATGGAACGATTAACGTAGTCAGAGGCCCTACATGTGTCTTCAGCGCATCAAGCACTCAGAGATCAAAGTACCTACCTACATACCCACACATGGACAGGTAGCAAGTATCAGTCACCCTTCATCAAACCTTGGAAAGCTTGAGTGGTCAAAGCCCTAAGACAGCCCAAACAATTCTATAGAAATCGACTGTAGGCCTCTAACTGGACGTCTATGCTGAACGTCGACACACTACTATGGGAGCTTTGCTTTTCTGTTCTAGACGAGGAGAAACAAGAGATCTGAACAAAATTGTACATTGGTTCTAATACATACATCGTATCTAAGTGGATAGCTCCCCGAAATCCTACTAAGATGCTCGTAAGCGGCATGAGATTAAGTGTTGAAACAGCCTTGCCGGTGCTATCTAGTGAGATTAAGATCTCAATAGACTGCTCAGCAATGGCCTCTTTTGCGGTTGTGTTAGTATGTCAGGGCATAGGGCATAAGGGGATAGGGAATGAGGGGGGTTTATTTTCTTCTCCAGACCTATCATAGGCCGAGGAAGGGGATGTTCGCCATTTCCCGTAAAGCCATCAGCTCTACAACCAGGGTGTGAGCTTCATGGACAAGGGAAGCATGACAAGACACCAGGGCAAAGATTTGCCTGAGTATGTGCAGGAAAGCCGAGATGAGAGAAGACAAGAAACACCAATCCACGCTTAACATGTAAAGTAAAAAGCAAGACCACCCAAAACCTGTTGAAAGGTACCCAAAACTCCAAGAAAAAATCCAAAAATCAACAACCTGTGTTCAGGTTGGGCAGATGGGGAAATGGGGCATTATCTCCGGTTCAACAGAGTCAAGAACTCTTCGCGAGTCTTGGCGCTGGACCGCATACATCCCAGCATACAGCTGGTAGTGGTGGTGCTGCTAACCTTCTGCACACCACGCATAACCATGCAAAGGTGGGAGGATTCCATAACGACACCGACGCCACGAGGCTGGAGGACCTCTGAAATGGCTAACGCGACTTGCTTGGTCAGACGCTCCTGGACCTGGAGTCTGCGAGAGAACATCTCTGCCAGGCGAGCCAGTTTTGACAGACCAAGGACACGGCGGTCAGGAATGTATCCGATATGCATCTGTAAATTGTTAGAATGATTGCCACCACGGTATCTTTATATATAGCGATCCTTACCTTTCCGGTGAATGGCACCATGTGGTGCTCGCACATCGAGAAGACATCAATGTCCTTGACAATAACCAACTCATCGTGATCCTCGTGGAAGACAGCGTTGTTGACCAAGTCCCGAACATTCTCCTCATAGCCCTTAGTGAAATAGAGCATGGCCTGGGCATATCGCATGGGGGTCTCGCGAAGTCCCTCTCTTTCCGGGTCCTCGCCGATACATTCCAGGATTGTGCGGATAGCTCCGGACATCTTCTCAAGTCGTTGTTCGGTCTCCTCCGGCGTCGACTCCTTCCGCTGTCTGGTTCCCGGGCCTAGCGATTGTGGTTAGAGGAATACACCAATAGAGTGGTATCCACCGATGGGGTTGGTATCACTAACAAGGCCAGCTGAGACCGTCAAAGTCTATGGGCGGGGTCAATGTGTAGGGGCTAGCAGGTCGGCTGACAGTTGTTGAGGGCGTCAATGGGGCGGCCGCATCCCGGGGATCGCGGGGAGGGTCATTCAAGGTGGGACTACATCCCAGAGATTAGCAATGAAATGTAAAGTGCCATGTTCCCCGATATTGATATCATTATATACATACTGCACTGGTGCCACACTGCGGATTGGCACAGAAGCATTGGAAACGGCCTGGGTGGGGGCGGCTCCAGTTTCCTCAGTTTCGGCCTGGGTCTCGGTCTTGGTGTCGGTCTTAGTCTCAGGAGATTCAAATTCAACGGGAATTCGGGGTTCAAAAGAGGAGCGAATAGATGTACTCAGACTCTCGCGCTCACGAGAATCACGGCCACCTGTTGAACGTTGCAGCGGGGAGCTACCGTTCAACATGTGGGACGGAATGGCTGAAACCCTGGGACTTGTAGGGGAACCGGAACCCATGATGGAGATTATTTCAAAAGTGAAGTTGATAGAAAGTAGAATATGTCACCTTCCAAGATGATATATAAATAATAAATGAGTTGAACATATGAACTAAGGTCAGACACAATTTTTTTTTTAAGCAAACGGCACTAACTTTCTTCTATCCCCCTCATCGCCCCCCACCAATCGCCACCAATCACATCCCACCGGAATGATGACATGCTCCCCGCGGCCAGTATAACAGATTCCCGGCCTGAATAGTATATGCATACCTACATAACTATGTAGGTAGATCTCCAGAGCTATGTTCCAAGGTTGTACTATATGAATCCTGGACTATATTAGAGCGTGGTACAGAACCTATTCCTTACTCTATTCGTCACACATCTCATATACTCTTGTCGTTAGCGTTATGTAGTGGAATGTGCGGGAATGCACTCTAAACCCTGTAGCGAGAAGCATCTTGAAATAGAGTAACTAATAATGAAAGGAATAAATACGGAATTCACTAAGCGGTCCTGAAGTCTACAAGCATTATAGTTAGCTGTTATATAACTTAGTTAATATATATCATGGCGTGGCTAGGCTGGTGACCATGGGCAGTGACATGTCCTATATACATACAACATCTAGAGATATTAATCAGGGTTAGTGGGCAAAACATGTCGCTAGCAACAAGGGTTATAGATGAAATGGTGTTTTTAATGATTACTCGCTATGGTCTTAATTCACGTATACCAAGGAAGCACCCATATGAAGAAAAATGACTGGACTGTAAGTCCGGTAGAACTAAAATCACGCCTCAATTTCTTCTGTTGGGACATCCTCCAGATCCTTGCCCACAATTGCATCTGCTACCTTCCATACCTGCAGTAGATTGTCCTCAGCCGCGGAACAGAGAACCCACGGGTCACTTAGGTTCCAGCTGAAGTCTGAGATACGGTTCGTGTGTCCACCATGCATAAACAGACTAAGGATTAGGTCAGCCAACAATTCAATGCATGAAATGAAGCAGGGAAAAAGATGTCACTTACAGTTCTGGTGGCCCATCTTGAGCATCCTCAGGGGTTTGCTCCTCGCCTGCCCGGCTGAGGTCCCAGAACATGATCTTGCGGTCGTAACTGGAACTTGCCAGGACCGACTCCTCAAATGGATGCCACGAGATAGATTGCACCGAATCAGTGTGGCCCTCCAATGAGTGGAGCTTCGCTTTCAGGTTGCGGAGATCCCAGATACCGATAGTCTTGTCGGCGGAACCCGTGGCCAGAATCGTCTCGGAGGCCGGGTTGAAGGAGATTGAGTTGATGGCATCGCGGTGCTGACCTTCAGCCGAAGCAGCCGCGCGAGTGGAATCATCGTGGCGGGTATCGAGGATTTGAAGCGTGATGTCATCGGAGACTGTTCCGATGAGAGAGGAGTGGAGAGGATGGTGTTGAACGTCGTTGACGATCGAGGAGTGGTGTGTGAAAGTGCGGCTTGGTCGGACTGCCTTGTTACCCTTGGTGTATGTAGTAATGTCCCTGATGAGCTCCATTAGATGCTAGTCACAACAAATCTTGTGTTTTCATGTTGCGCTCGCTTACCAAAGTCGAACAGTCTTATCCTCACTGCCCGTTGCGAGGTGACCTGCCAGATGGGGGTTCCAGCTAAGCCCGAAGCCTTCAGCTTCATGGCCCAGAAGCTCCATTTGAGGGTTCACTGTGCCGGTTGGCAAGCTGGGGTGCTTAGAGCGATCCCAGATCATCACCCGACCATCTGTGCACATTGTAGCAATGATATTCGGGTTCTGTGGCTGATACCGGGCCTTGTTGACCTCACCCTTGTGATCGATCTTTTGCACAATATTGAACTTGATTTCCATCTGCGCCTTCTTTGAACCGCCGCCATAGCCTCCAATCTCTCCTTTCTCTTCGTCATAGTCTTCCGGGTTTGGGGCATTAGGGTTTGGAAGTTGCACCTGGGCAATCTGAAGGTAATTCTGCGCATCACCAGTGGTATGTGTGCCAATGAGGAGACGGTGGGTTGAGTAGGGCTTGTCTGGGACTCTGAAGATAGACTCGGTTAGGTTGATGATTGGACGGGCATGAGTTCGGGGGCATACTCTTGCTTATCTGGAAGCCACTGGGTTGTAAGAGTTGGCCATTCTAATGCTGTGCTCAGGATCATATCATAGAGGAAGGGCGCATTCTTCTTCCATGTTTTGTACTCTGTTCTCAATCAATGTGATTAGATATAACCGTAATTGATAGAACTTGAGAGAGGTGGAGCAAAGTTACCTTCATTGATCGCCTTCTCATCAGCATGTTCATGATCCTGATCCTGATCCTGGTCCTGATCTTTCTCGTGCTCGTCACCAACACCTAGACGTTGATTAGATTGAGATTTTAAGTAGTGCGCAAGGACATAAATGCTCACCAGCATCGTCTTCATAAGGATCCATGACTTTAGTGTGGTATAGACCAAGCAGTATATTGAGATCACTAGGCAACGGAACTCGAACCACAGAGAAAGAGTGTGTGAAGCAAACAGGTAGGCGGAGGAAAGCTACGCGCAAGAGCGCGTTAATGAGCGCCGGGAGACCTACAATGGCACTAGCCCCAATTAGTAGGCGGTGACTGAGCTCCGCTGACTCTTCAATGTTCACATCGTGGGGACACCTGCTTTCTTGCATCATAGAAAACTGAAAAGCGTCAGTTTGGCGTTACTAAATTCTTCTCTTGCTTTTTTCCCCCTACCCCTATATCTTTCTTTGGGTACCACTTTGCTGGCGCAGTATCTTGTCCAAGATCCCTTCATTGGATGATTTCACCTTTCGTCGCAACTCTACTTCAGTCCTTTACGAGTACCCCTCATACGATCTCTCAACTCTTACGATAAATTACCTGCTGACTCCTTCCTTGACAATATTGTCTTCGATTCAACCCAACCTTCATCATGGGTGTCCCGAAATTCTTTCGCTGGCTGAGTGAGCGGTATCCGTCAATCTCGATGCTGATCGCAGAGAACCGGATACCCGAATTCGATAGCCTATACCTCGATATGAACGGCGTTATTCACAACTGTACGCATAGTGACAGCGATTCCCCGACGTTTCGCATGACGGAGGATCAAATGTTTATTGCTATCTTCAATTACATTGAACATCTCTTTGGCAAGATCAAACCCAAGAAACTGTTCTATATGGCGGTAGATGGTGTTGCGCCTCGCGCTAAGATGAATCAACAACGCGCTCGTCGATTCCGATCGGCTCTGGATGCAGAAAACGCGAAGGAGAAGGCCATCCAGCAGGGCATGGAGATGCCAAAGGAAGATGCCTTTGACAGCAACTGCATCACCCCGGGTACCGAGTTCATGCACAAATTGACGAGACAACTCAAATACTTCATCAACAAGAAAATCTCGGAGGACACAGATTGGCAAGGTGTGGAAATTGTGCTTTCTGGCCACGAGGTTCCAGGAGAAGGCGAGCACAAGATTATGGAATACATTCGTTGCTCGAAAGCGCAGCCCGACTATGAATCCAATGTTCGCCACTGTCTTTACGGTCTGGACGCCGATCTAATCATGCTGGGTCTTCTCAGCCATGACCCTCACTTCTGCCTTCTTCGAGAAGAGGTGACCTTTGGTCGCCAAGTATCCAAGAAGCCCAAGGAACTGGAACATCAAAACTTTTATTTGTTGCATCTGAGCGTGGTCCGGGAATATTTGGAATTAGAATTCCAAGAGCTAGAACAAGAAGGTGTTCTGGATTTCCCATTCGATATGGAGCGTGTTATTGATGATTTCATTCTCATGGCCTTTTTCGTTGGCAACGATTTCTTGCCTAGCCTTCCAAACTTACATATCAACGAGGGTGCCCTTGCTCTTATGTTCAAGCTCTACAAGGAGGTGCTGCCAAAGATGGGCGGCTACATCAACGAGCAGGGTGTTGTCAATGTGCAACGGTTGGGTATGCTCGTAACCGCACTGAGTGCTGTGGAATACCGATTCTTTGAGGCGGATAACTCCGATGCTCAATGGATCAAGTCAAAGAAAGACTCAAGCATTGATTATTCGAACTCGCAACAGAAGAAAGAGCTTACGCTCACCCCCTCTCAGAAGGAGATCCTCAAGACGGTCAAGAAGTACGTTCTGAACCGGTCTGACAAGGCCTCTGAACCTCTTGACCTCCCTCCTACACTTCCAGCTCGTGATCGAACTTTCGTCGAACAGCTTGCTGATGAGCTGCGGTTGTCTTGGTCCTCCCTCGACGATGAGAACGGTGATCGATTCATGAGGCTCTCATTGCCTCCGACCCAGGGTGATAGTGATGACGACGAAGAGGATGAGGAGGCATCGATGGCTGTTCAGCGTATTATTCGGAAGTACGAGAAGGCCAAGATTCAGGAGATGACGGCCGAGGAAGCGGAGAAGGCCGCCCAGGAGAAATATGACGCGAAGTTCCTTGAATGGAAAGATAAGTATTATAGGACCAAGTTCGGTTGGGGCCTCGACAACAAGGAAGAGATGAAGAAGCTGGCACAAAACTACGTGCAAGGATTACAGTGGGTCTTGTTCTACTATTACCGTGGCATTGCATCGTGGCCCTGGTTCTTCCAGTACCACTATGCCCCTATGATCTCTGGTTCGTATTACTAGATATCTATCTTGTTGGGTTGTTTTGATTGTTGACGATGGAACAGATGTGAATGATGGCCTTGGTGCAGACATGGACTTTAAATTGGGACAGCCTTTCCGGCCCTTCGACCAGCTCATGGGTGTCTTGCCTGACCGCAGCAAGAAGATTGTGCCTACTGCGTATTGGGACCTGATGACCTCGCCTGATTCCCCCATCTACGATTTCTACCCTCGTGATTTCGATCTTGATATGAACGGGAAAAAGATGGAATGGGAAGCCGTTGTCAAGATCCCATTTATCGACGAAAAGCGGCTGTTGGACGCCCTTAAAACGAAAGAAAACCATCTTTCCGCGGACGAAAAAGCAAGGAACGAATTTGGGGCCTGTCTCAAATTCACCTATTCCCCAGAGGTGAACTTCGTTTACCCCTCCTCAATGCCTGGTGTATTCCCAGATCTTCCTAGCTGCCGTTGCATTGAGAACATCTTCGATCTCCCCGTCATGGATGGTTTGGTGCCCTACGCTGGCTTAATGGACGGCGTGCACCTAGGCAAGGCCGCGCTTGCTGGCTTCCCTAGCATCAAGACACTTCCGCACCATGGTCAATTGGGTTTCCACGGCGTTTGCGTGTTCAATCAAGACAGCCGCAATGAGAGCCAGGTTATTACACTCCTCGATCCTGGAAGCCGGTCGAGCGTTGAACTGGCTAAGACGAAGCTTGGGAAGCGTGTCCATGTGGGTTATCCATTCTTGCAAGAAGCTCTTGTGGTTCGCGTCTCGGACGAATTATTTGATTATGTTCTTCCTGTCGGAGAAGAACACCCTTTGTCTATTCCTCACACCCCTCAGCAAATTGAGCAGTGGAAGAGGAAGGCCAACAAGATTGAGGGCACCTACAGCAAGCGTCTAGCAATTATCATTGGTGATGTCGAATCTCTGGTCCACATCCAACTTCTGAAGGGCATGAGCAAGACCGACGATGGAGCCACAATCAAGGAATTCGGTGATATACCCGGCCTAGAGACAGACTATGCTTTACAGGTGGTTGTTGATGATGTGATTAATCCTGATCAACGTTTCATTGAGCGGGAAGCTCTCTCTATCCAAGAAGAATTCCCTGAGGGCTCTCGTGCCTTCTTCTTGGGTGACTTCAACTACGGAAGACCTGTGTATGTTGGCGGACACGAAGATGGAAAGGTGAATGGACTAGTCGCGGCTGTGAAAGGTCGCGAGCCAGAATTCGGTCGAGAGCGTGTTAGGGTATCTGAGCAACTTTGCCCGTACATGCCTTCGTACGCTGTTGCCCGCAGTCTTCGCCTCAATCCTTTGGTACTGGCTAAGATTACATCTTCCTTTACTGTTGACATCGAAGGCCAACGTGCGAACCTCGGTCTTAACCTGAAGTTCCAGGCAAAGCAACAGAAGGTTCTTGGATACTCCCGTCGGGGAGAATCCGGCTGGGAATTCAGCCAGAAGGCGGTGGAGCTGATTCAACAGTACATGATCAATTTCCCGGAATTCATTGCTGGCATCCAACGCAACCCTCAAAGCGACCGTTATTCTCCGACTGATTTCTATCCCGAGGAAATTGCCGCCCTCAAGATGAAGGAGATCAAGGATTGGCTCAAATCTATAGAAGCTAAGAACTTCGAGAGAGTGCCCCTCGATGCTGAGCAGCTTGACTCGGATATTGTGATGTTAATTGAGCAGGATGCCGACAATCTGAATGCGTCACTGCCAGATATGCAACCGAAGAAGGTTCGGGGTGTACCCCGAAGTGCCCTCCTAAAGCCTGCCGATGTCGAGCACCGTCTCGGAAACCAAAGCTTCAGGCTTGGCGATCGGGTTGTGTATGCCCAAGATTCTGGTAAAGTGCCGATCGCTACTCGTGGCACAGTTGTCGGTCTCACCAGAACCTCGCGAGCTCTTCTGCTTGATGTTGTCTTTGATGTGTCGTTTATGAGCGGCACTACACTAGGTGGCAGATGCTCACCATTCCGTGGTCAAACTGTTTTGGCATCTTCCCTCCTCAACATCTCCAACCGACAACTTATTACCAGTTCCCGTGCTACCGCTAGCCAGCAAACCCAGCAGACGCAGACTCCTTTGACAGTTGCCGGATACGGCGCCCCTACCGGCCCCCACGGACAGGGACAATTGAAGAACGCAACTGCCCCTCCGCCCCTGAGAGGCTCCTTCCGAGGAGCTGTCGCCGGACAGGTCAATGGCGCTGGACGTGGAGGTCGCGGGGGTCTGGGTCTCAACAACGGACAGCAGACTACTCTCCCTTTCCGTCCCCATGCCAATGGTGGCGGTGTCCCCCCGTGGTCCCCGTGGCGGCGGTCGTGGAGGTACCCGGGGTGGATATGTCGCAATGGATAACAGTGACCCCAGCGAGGGTGTTATCCAGCACAACCCCAACTTCCGTCCGCAGAACTACTCTCACGTTCCGCCACCGCAAGGATTGGATCGAGGACGTGGGCGTGGTCGCGGTCGTGGTAATGGTTTCCGTGGCAGAGGAGGTCGTGGGCGAGGTGCGCCCCAACCCACCCCCCAGTGAATGATGCACGTGGCTTTTAAGAGAGAAGATATTATGAAATGATTGGATTTGAACCCTGTATGTATATGGATACTTTAGATATATCTGCACTTAGTCTGGACGTGTACGTCGAGGCAGTGCTTATATCTATTGCAGACGAATGTACGATGGAATTGAAACCAAACTCGATCCTCGTATTTCCCAGTCTGGGATCTTTTAGACATAAAGGAGAACCGTAACATGTAGATAAAATGAGCATGGCATTGCGTATCGACCTCTGGTAGCCCTAAACAGCAACATTCCCCGAAGGTCTCCGTTCTCCCCTTCTACTCAAAGCCCAATAGGCCTTTTCCGAAACAGCATCTCCGTAGTCATATTCGGAAGAATATGCTCCCCAACTACAACGTTACGAGGTCTCTTCCCATCCAGATCATGAACAAACTTGAACTCGTAGTCAAGGATGATGCGACTCAAGATCGCCTTCAGGGTATTCGCCGCGAAGAACCGACCAGGA